CATTCTAACAACTGTGGGATTAGGTGCTCATCCAAGCTTTTCCCATTCCCCCATTTCTTTATTTGGGAATGTTCTGACAGCTCTGGGATTAGGGATTCTTCAGAGTTTTTTCCCACTGTTTCCACGTTTTTCACTTTGGGAACACCCTGGCAGCTGTGGGATCAGGGACTCTGATAAAGTGTTCCCCCATTTCTCGCTTTGGGAACACACCAAGAGCTGTGGGATCAGGGACCCAATCCTGAGTTTTCCCCACTGATCCCTCATTTTTCACTTTGGGAACATCCCAACAGCTGCAGATTCAGGGATTCTAGATTTTTTAATCATTGTCCCATTTCTTGCTTTGGGAACACACCAACAGCTCTGGAATCTAGGGACTCAATCCTGAATTTTTCCCACTGTTCCCCCATTTCTCGCTTTAGGAACATTCCAGCAGCTGTGGGATTAGATGCTCATCTGAGTTTTTCCCTCTGTTCCCCAATTTCTCACTTTGGCAATACATCAAAACAATGGGATCAGGGATTCTGATAAAGTGTTCCCCAATTTCTCGCTTTGGGAACACACCAAGAGCTGTGGGATCAGGGACTCAGTTCTGAGTTTTTCCCACTGTTCCCCCATTTCTCGTTTTGGGAACATCCTGACAGCTCTGGGTTTGTGGCCTTTTTTGAGTTTTTCCCACTGTTTCCATATTTTTCACTTTGGGAATGCCCCAGCAGCTGTGGGATTAGGGACTCAGTTCTGTGTTTTCCCCACTGTTCCCCCATTTCTCGCTTTGGGAACATCCCAACAGCTGCAGATTCAGCAATTTTTAAGTTTTTGAATCATTCTCCCATTTCTTGCTTTGGGAATACACCAACAGCTCTGGGATCAGGGGCTCTTCACAGTTTTCCCCACTGTTCCCCCATTTCTCATTTTAGGAACATCCCAGGAGCTGTGGGATCAGGGACTCTGAGAAAGTGTTCCCCCATTTCTCGCTTTGGGAACACACCAAGAGCTGTGGGATCAGGGACCCAATTCTGAGTTTTCCCCACTGTTTCCCCATTTCTCACTTTGGGAACATCCCAACAGCTGCTGATTAGGGATCCAGTTCTGAGTTTTTCCCATTGTTCCCCCATTTCTTGCTTTGGGAACATCCCAGCAGTTGTGGGATTAGAGATTCTTCTAATTCTTTTAGTTATTCCCCCATTTTTTGCTTTGGGAACACCCAAACAGTTCTGGGATTGGGGACTCTTCAAAGTCTGTTCCCCCATTTCTCGCTTTGGGAACACCCCAATCCCACAATCCTGAATTCCCCCCCTGCTCTTGTGATTTCCAAGGGACACCCAAGGATTGTTTGATATCTGCACCACGGCCCAATTCCACAATTACATTCTGACCTTTTAGGAAATTAAATCCAGTTTTGCTTCTTTCCTCCTTCTTCTTCTTTTTTTTTCCCATGTTTCCACCACAAGCCAGAGATTCCAGGTGATGCTTTGTACAGTCTGGAATTAAGGTGAAGTGGAAGCAAACCTGACAGTACAAACAGCTAAGCAGTTACTGTGTTAAATGCCAACCTTAGGGGAATAATCCCTTAGTTTGGGAAGGAGTGCTGAAAACAGATGTTTCACTCTATTTCTTGTGAGCCAGAAGGACAAAATAGCATTTTTGGTTCCTGACATGAGGTCAGAAACACCCAGGACCCACGTGCTTAAGTCTTCTGCTCAAAGAGGTCGTGGTACTCCTGCTCCTCCAGCTCCCTGTTGTACTTCTCAATTTCCCTGTTGGCTTCTTCCAAGTAATCATTCATGAACTGGTCCATTACTGGTTGGGAAAGGTGAAGGAAGAATATTTGTGCAAATGGAATTTTAGTAAAAAAGAATATCCAGGTTTGAAGGAAGGGTCAGTTCTGGGACGCTCAGTGAAAGCAGAAATTCAATATATTACTTTCTGGAATTCTACAGTCAGAGCTACCCCAACTCAGGGTTCCCAGGGCATAAAGGGATATTTCCCAGCCAGGAGGAAGGATTTAAGGACAGCAGAACCATAGCAGGGTTAGATGGGATGTCAGGAAGAAATTCTTCCCTGGGAGGGTGGTGAGGCCCTGGCACAGGTTGCCCAAAGAGGTTTTGGACTCCCCATGCCTGGAAGGTGCTGGAACAAGATCAGCTTCAAGGTCCCTTCCAAGCCAAACCATTCAGTGACTCTGAGAACACATTTCCAGCTGTTCTGCTGAAGCAGAACTCTAAAACTGCCCAAAATTCAAATTCCCCAGAAAGGGATAACCAGGCCTGCAGCTTTCACTGCCAAACACCAAGGGGGAGGTGAAGAATCCTGGAATGGTTTGGGATGGAAGGAGCTTAAAGTCCATCTCATTCCACCTGCTGCCATAGGCAGGGACACCTTTCACTATCCCAGCTTGCTCCAACCTGGCCTTGGACACTCCCAGGGATGGGAAAACAATAATTTTCCAGTGAATATTGAAGTCCAAGTTTGCTGTTGGGTTTTGTGCCCTGCAGACAGAAATCTGCTGGTTTAAAATGTTCAAGTCTGTTCTTATTCCAAAGCAGAACCCACCTGGATTTTCACCAAGTTTGGTGAAGTTACAATGAAAAGTAAACTGGGAATATAAAACCAATTTGGAAGTCAGTGACCAAAGACAAAAGCAATAGGAGGTTATGAAAATGAGAGAATCACAGAATCATTAAAGCTGATCCATGTCCCCAGGTGGTGACAACAGGAATACACTGGAACCCTGGCAAAGGAAATGCCAGGGTAATACTAAGGACAAAAACATGATTGTTTTCACTTGAGTGTGTGCACACATGAAATTACATTCATTTGGAAGTTTTATCAGTGTGCCCAGGCATTCAGTGCTATTACAGCATTATTTGGTTGCAAAAGTATTTCTTTGACAAGCTGTGGTCCATAAATTATTCCCTGGGTGAGCTCATGGGCAGTTTGAGGTTTGTTTTGTTGGTTCTATTCTGTTTCTGAGATCTTATCTCTCAGAAAAGGTTTGAACACTAAGCTTAGCTGGCAAAGAATTGGCTCTTTACCATATCTGCTTTGACACTTTACATTTCAGAGCTGCACAGTTCATTGCTTCCCTAAAACTTTCCCCAAAAACTCCCCATTTGAAAGGATACATGGATGATAATCCATTTTGTCACCAAAAAAATTCACAAATTGAGTCCCATTGTAAAAATAACCAGCTGGAAGTGGATCCAAGTGACGTTTCACCTGCAGTAGGAAAGAATTTAAATTAAACACCTGTAAGGACAGTCTTTACAAACTCAGAAAGATAAAAGAAAATGGAAAGGACATGAGAGCAACCAAATTTTACACCTTCTTCTACTTTCCAGAGTGAATTTGGAACTCTGAGAACAGATTTTTCTCTCAAATCACTCCTGGACAGCTCCATTTGTGCTCCAAGCACCTCCATAAGTATTTTAATAATTTAGTGCTCAGCACACTTGCTGTGGCAGGTGCTCTGTCATCCAGATGGATATTTCAGGGAAATCAGCCAAAAGAAGGGTTTGTAAATGATTGCTGTTACTCACATGAATGTTTTTGATTTCCTGAAGAGTTAACATTCCTCTGGTTTTCAGGGCTTTCCTCTGAGGTTTCTGTATGAAGAAGGAGATTCCAGTGATATGAGTGACAATGTGATATCACAGCTTAGTTTAAAAATAAATTAACAACAAAAAAAAAACAAAAAAACCCCCAACCCAAACCACCAAACAGAAGCATGCATTTCAAAAATTCATTTCTAAAATTATTCAGTTCTATGAAGTAAAAATTCACTGATCTTAAAGAAAACACTCAGAAATTTAAAATTCTGTAAGTACTTAAACCAGACAATTTAAATACAGCTTTACTGTAAGAAAGCTGGCACAGGAACAGAAAAACAACTTAATTTTGAGCCAGAGAAATTCTGTAATCCTTTTCTTTCTTGCAGCATGTGATAACTCTTAAAGCTATCTGAAACCCTCAATTAGCCATGACTGTACAAAAAGTGTTTATAGCCTTGAATTGCTCAAAGAGGAAACACTTCACACTTGAGATAAGCATTTAAGTTCCAAGTTTTCATAAAATTTAAGCAGTATTCCACAAAGAGCTTTTTTTCTTACATGGCAAAGCATTTGTCTCCATGTATTACCCCTGTGATAAGTACAGAGCATGAGATAATCAGCACAGAAAATGAATTAATTCCCTGAATTAACACAGGGGAACAGGAGATGAGAACCTCAGAAATCTTCAAACCTTAGCAACTGCTCCAGGCACAGTCTGCAGCAAACACTGTTCCCTTCCTACCCAAATTTTTTACAGGGAATACTGTGCAAATCCTAATCCATACACAAGTAGCATGGAGCATTTTTAATTTACAAATCTTCCAAAAAGTTCCACTGGCACAGCCTGGCCAGAGAAGCTGTGGCTGCCCCATCCCTGAAGTGTCCAAGGCCAGGTTGGGCAGGGTTTGGAACAATCTGGGATAATTGAAGGTGTCCATGGCAGAGAGGTGGAACTGGATGGGATTTAAGATCCCTTCCAACCCAAACCATGCCAGGATTTTATGGATCTGTGATTCCATCACTCAGCTGTGGCAGCCCCTCTGTGCAAACTGTGCCTTCTGAGCTTCCTCCAACAGCCACATTCCCTGTTCCCTACTCATTACTGCATGGATACATCAGCCATGCAGAAATACACTTGACTAATTAAGGATGACAAAATGAACAAGACTCTACCCCCTCTATTTCTGTGGATTACTTCCAAGGAGGTTTAATTTAGTGAATCAAAACAAATTTTCAGCTTTGCCAGCATTCAGGTATTTGAAGAAGATTTATTTCATAGCACACTTCAGCCCTTGGCAATCACAGCTCAGCTAAATCATCCTGTGTTTATCCTGGACAAAATCCATTTGCTCAAGCATTCAAGAACAGATCAATCCATGAATAAGCTGTAGCAAGCCCTAAAACAATACAGAGATTACAACACACATTTGTAAACTCTTAGTCCCCTTCCTGAAATCCATTTGCACCCTAGAATGTCAATAGCTTGGTAGAAGAAAAAAAAAAAAAGAGATTAATTAAGAAACCCAAACGTTTTCACTGAGACACCTGGATTTTTCTTTTAATTGTTAAGAAATGCCAAGCACTGAACAAAAGGAAACCTGCCCACAAACCTGCTTTGCAGTTTCTCTGAGCCAATCTTTGATATCTTCTTCCTTCAGGGAGCAGCCAATGAACACAAGGAAATATTCCTGCTGACTGCTGCAGTCTCTGGGATCATTTCTGGAATCAGGAGGAGTTGGCCCCTCTGGAACAGGCACCAGGCTTAGGGAATTTGCTGCTGTGTTGTGACAGACTTCAATGACTTTATCAGCATCTAACAAGGAGAAGACAGAAGGAAGGGTCTGATAATTGCTAATCTAATCTAACATCAACTCTGATGCAGACAGAATCCAGGAAAGAAATATTTTTTTTAAGTACCCATAACATGCAGTGTGATCACAACACCTCAGGAGTAATTTTCCCTTACCTGAAAATTTCACTTTGCCCATGATGTGATAAATGTTTCCAGAAAAAGGACTTGGCTTGAGCAACGACTTAATTGCTGTTTGAAACAGAAGACAAACAGATTATCTCAACTTATTTTTCTTCTCCTTGGTGGAGCTTCTGGCAAAACCTGTGCAACTCATCTCTAATCCACATCCCAGTGCTTCCAAAGGAAAAGCTGCCCTGTCCCTTGGAGTCCCACTAAGTATTATTTATCTCTCATTCTCTGCCATGGAGTTTGGCATAAGGAACTCTCACAGTGTATGTGGGAGGTAAAATCCTCCTCTTTAACACTACTTGGCTAAGGAGAGAAGGAGGGGCTTGATAATGTATCTACTCTAAAGCTGAGCCTGTTTTCTAGCAGTTACAAAGAATTACTTGGCATAAAAAGTAGAAGCTGATGGTCACTCATAAAACTCTATTTCAACACTACCAAATACAATGAAACATAAAATAAAAAGCAAACATAGGAAGTTGTCTCAGTCCTAAAAACCAAAAATTCAATTAGATTTTCGTCTGAACAAAAATCATGGGACAATTTTCCAGAGCAGACACTAAGGAACAGAATTTACTGTACTTTTAGGAAGGAAAGCTGAGTATTCAATTAAAATTGAACATCAGCAGTGATTAAATAATTGCCTTACGTCAGTGCCTTCCTTCCCCTCTATCCCTCAGCATCCCAAACTTGGATTTCAATCAAGTCAGGCAAAGTTCATTGGTACCTTTGCACTTGGTCACAAATCTTGTTTTCTCCAGAGGGCGACTGAACCACACACAGATCTGAACCATGGGAGGGAACACGGGCCCAGCCCCGTATTTCCCCTCGTACCTGGAGACAACAACAAACACCTTCAACACACAGAAATCACTGGAGCTTCTGCTTCTCTCCAACAAAGAACATCTGCTCTTTCATCACACGTGAGCCTTGCTCACAGGAAGGAAAACACAGGGTTTTCTTCTCCGTGAAAATGTGCTGCCAACAGCATTAGGTTGGTCAAAGCACTCGGGGCTCCTTTTCACAGAGTCCTGAAATGGTTTGAGTCGGAATTGGACCTTAAAAGTCATTTCATTCCACCCCTATGGTGGGCAGGGACAAATTCCACCATCCCAAGGTGCTCCAAGCCCTGTCCAGCCTGGCTTTGGACACTTCCAGGGATCCAGGGGCAGCCACAGCTTCTCTGGGAAACCTGTGCCAGGGCTTCCTCACCCTCACAGGGAAGAATTTTCCTTAACATCTCATCTAAATCTCTCTTATTTTAGCTTAAACCCCTTCTCCTTTGTCCTGTCACCATTTACCCATGTAAAAACTCATTCTACTCCTTTTATAGAGCCCTCTTTAGGTACTGCAAGGCTGCAGTCAGATATCCCTGGATGCTTTTAATGCTCTTCCTGCTCTTCTTTCTTTCTCTTCCACACTAGCCAGATCCAATTCTTTCATACTGTCATCAAATAGATTAACAGCTGCCCAAAAGTTTGAAATACTTCCTTTTCCTGCCCTCTCTCTTTGGCTCCATGCAACCCACAAGCAGCTCTGATGATATGAATTCAATATCCTCAAAAGCCTTGTGCTGGTTCACTCCAGTAGCTTTACTTGGCTACTTGCATCCAATTCAGAACCAAATTTATTAATGAAGAGATAGAGAGGACAGCAAGGTATGATAGATAAATAAATGATGTTTCAGTCATCAGTCAGCCAGGAGTTATGATGGCTGACAGCTGCAGATTTGTGCCAAAAAGGTGCAGCACAGATAACTGCAACAAGATGTGTGTGAGGAGCCCTGAGGCAGGAGAAATGTCCCTCGGTGTTCAGTGGAAAGTTTGGTGCCACGTGGGTTTGTGGGCTCAGCTGTGCCAAGGCTGTCACTGAGGTCCCTGGGTTTTGTGAATAATTGTTCTGCTAATGGCCAGACTGACAGAGCAAGTTCATTCCAGTAATGCTCAATAGCTGTCAGGATGAAATTACTTCAGTCATTATTGACCTCACCCATCCCAATCCTTCCCAGTTTATTCCCAAAGGGTTCTTGCCTATTCTTCTGGAAAGCAACAGTAATCTTGCCATTGATTTAAATGGTGGCCAGAAAGGAGCTTTTTCCCCCCCATAAAAGGGCAGCAATCTTGTATCCACTAAGAATAATCATCAGCTCTCTTAAAAATGATTTACGAAGCTGCTGCCTGTTCCAAATGAGTAGTCTTAGAAAAAAAAAAATATAAATGAAGTTAGTGAAACATTTTAATCTTCAAGTTAATTAGAAAAATAGTTTTAATACTTCTCAGTCTAGATACTTGCCAGCCAGGGTACATTAAATATCGAGCTCTCATCATCTGAGGATTTGAAAAACTGCTTTCTGAGAGAATTAATTCAATATCCTCGTTCCTGTAAAGAGATAAAAATGAAGATTTTTCATTTTCTAAGTTAAATAAAATGGCCACTATCTACTTACATAAAACATAATGTGCTAGTGACAGTAAAATTAAGAGCACTGTTCCTTTAGTATGGCAGTAACAGTAACATAAATCACACTCTGCAAACAAAACACATTTCCTTATCCCTGTATTTATATGCCCATAAATGTAAAGGGAAAATCCCTTTTGCACGAGAAGCAATTAAGAAAAATCTGCATTTCCTTCCTATAAATCACCAGAGTAAAAAAAAAACAAGAGAGGAGAAGTTTGTGAGAGCTCGTGGCCTTTGTGCCAAAAGCCATCAATCCTGATTAATGTTACCTCGTTACAATTCCATTTTCTGCCAGCACGAAGGAAACTCCAGGATTTGCAGCTCGGATCAGGCTCTGCAGCTGCACGAGCAGTGGGTGCCTCTGCTCCGTGGCATGACTTGTGAAAACCACGTTACTCACCAGTCCTGGGAAGAAAGGAAATCAAGGGGTAATTTACACAGTTCAGGCATGGAAACAGTGACTAATAAACCATTCAGTGATAGTCCAACCATTCTTGTTTTCATTCCCTCTCGCTGCATTCTTTCATTAAAGAGAAAAAGAAAATCCACTACAACAAAAAAACTAAGCAGAGAAGCTTTCATCTAATAGAATTGATTTAGACTCAATCCATAGAATCGATTAATGAAAACAACAAATCCATACAAGAATCAATTTGAGCAGGACTAGTTTAAAAAAAAAAACAAACCAGAACACCAAGGTGTAAAATCTCTTGCTGAACTCAACATGCAGTAAGAGACTAAAAAGCTACAAATCACTATTCTGGATCTCATTTCCAAAAAGAAGAGAAGGGTTTAGGTTTATTTTTTGTCTTTAAAGACTCCAAAGGGTATTCAGACAGCAAGACTGAACCTATGAGTCATCAAAAAAATAACAGATAACCATCCAGTTAATTTCAGTTATAGGATACATGATTTGAGTTTCAGGTCAGTTCCTCAAAGACATTGCAGTGGCAACACTTGGTGACTCCCTAGGATGTGTGAGGATGGAGAGGAAACAGAAAGGAAATGGCCTCAAGTTGTGCCAGGGGAGGTTTAGATGAGAAATTAGGAAATATTTCTTCATGAAAAGGGTTGTAAAGCCCTGGCACAGCTGCCCAGGGCAGTGGTGCTGGGTTGATGATTGGGTTTCATGATCTTTGAGGTCTTTTCCAACCTAAACAATTCTGTCATTTTACAATAAATGTTATTTCTTTGCTCAAGATGTGCAGCCCTGTTCTGACACTTTCCTGTGACTACAAGTGGAGTGGAAGGAAGAACAGAAAATTTCCAATATCCATGAACAACTGAGCCAGGATGCATTTCCTCTGCCTCCAACTATTCAAAGCAAAGTTGAAACAACTGATCACACCTGATCTGCTGCCTGAAGTAATTCCTGGTCTTCACACAAATCTTAAATCACATTAATCCGTGCAAAAATTGCTTTACACACCAATTCCTGCACCAAATATTTCTGGAGCACTTCCATTACACCACACACTCCCAGTCACTGCTCTTTGCATCACTGACCCTTCCACGTCAGAACTTTGTTAACAGCACAAATCTCCATCACTTTATTTCTCTTTTCTTTTAACCTTGCACAGAATTTTCCACTCCAATTTCTGGAATATCCATGTTTCTCCAGTACACACTTGCTCTTGGAGGAGGGGGGGAAAGGGAAGAACAGCAAGCACCCTTTGAAATTTATGCCATGTGCAGGCTTGAAATGATATCGAGTTTGGGGATATTCATGATGAAATAAGGACAAAAATATGAATAAGATAATCATACCATGATTAAGGTAATAATTTCATGCCTGGAATATTCCAGGCCAGGTTGGATGGGGCTTGGAGCAGCCTGGGATGGTGGAAGGTGTCCTTGCCCATGGGAGATGAGCTTTGAGGTGCCTTCCAAGCCAAACCATTCTGGGATTTCTCAATCACCCACCACCACCCTGTGGTTGTGCTACAGAGATGCCACCCAGACCATGTGACAAGTGGCAGCATCACACCTTGGACAGGATCCAGAACTGTCAAGGATTAAGCTGGAAAAGCTCAAAGTTAAAAAAAAAAAAAAAGATTGTGGGAAAATCCAATCTAGCAGATCACACACCTCTGCACCTCTGCTCCTCCTCCTCCATCCATCTCTGCTCCCTGTGTGCCTGGCCCAGGGCACTCCCTGGGGACTCCCACAGAAGCCTGGGAGCAGGAGAAGCCTCTGCCTCTGCTCACACCCAGCTGTAAATCCTTGAGGTGTTGGGATCACAGGCACCAGTTCATGACCCCAGACTGATGGACAGGGAGTTGAATCCAACAGCAAAACAATTTGCTGAGAACTGGAAGGTGCCTCCACAGCTTCAGTAATGAACCAATTTAACCTTTTCTATTTAAATTGCCACTGCCATCTCTGTTTCTAAGAGATGCATTTTGAAGACCACCCAGTTTTGTTTAAATCTTTATTTATACACTCCTCTAAAGAAAAGAACCCTTGCAGCCTGGGGAATAGCATGTTCAATGGAAGCAGGAAAGGAACAGGAGGGATGGATTAAAAATACATATGCTGTATGAAGAAAATAATGGCTCCTCTTTGCTCCTAAACTTACAATGGGAAAATTTAACAATGGTGATGTCTTAATTTGTGTTCTATATGAAATTGTTTCACAAGGAATGCCAGGGTGCCCTTAGACTAGGAAGGCATCATCTTACAGCTTCTGTGCAAGAAAGAAAGAAAGGAAAGAAACACAAAAAAAGACCAAAAAAAGAGAGACAAAAGGGAATTACAGCAGGATTTTTTGGACAAGTTTAAGCATGGGATACTCATGTTGGTCATTCTGCTCGAGGCTTTGTCAGTTCTCCCCAGTCCCTGCCTCTGTGAGTACTGGGGCTTTCCAAACAGACATTTTGGAAAATGTCACATTGGTACCACACCCAGGGACCTCTGTGATACACAGAAAGGCAGCAAAAGGCAAACCCAACTCACTCCTCACATTTGGAAGATAATTCTGAGAAGGTACAAATCCAAACTGTAATTAATTCCTACTTGCCTGTGGCTGCACTTGGCTTTTCTTATACCCACCATGTTCTATTTCCAGATCTGTGCAATGTCCAGCAGAACAAAGACCTTGGAAGTGTCCAGGTCAGGCTGGAGCATCCTGGGATAGTGGAAGGTGTCCCTGCCCATGGCAGGGGTTGGGACAAATTGATCTTTAAGGTCCCTTCCACCCCAAATCAGTCAGTGATTCTATGAATTATGCAGATGTAAATTCTGCATCAGCCTGGAAAGTTTAAGTTTGCCACATCTCACTTCAAAGCACACTTTTCCTCCTGAAACTTTTCTGTACCAGAGAATTGGTGACAACACTTTGCAACATGCAGAAATTATTCCCTGCCACAAGAACACTCCTCTAACCTCCAGTATTTGTGATTCCTGTAGAATTTTGACTGTAAGAAAATGAGCCACTCTCGTCCTGGCATTTTGCAGTTTGCCTTCAACAATGACCAATTCTCACCCAATCTAATCTGTACAAATTCACTTTAAGAAAAATAAAGCTTTGTGTATTTTTTAATTTGTTCTTTCATAAAACAAAAGGGGATTTTCGTACTTTTAACTTCTCTGTAATTATTAATAATTCTTTATATTCTTAAGATTCCCCTGCTCTCTTCATTTTTACCCGTGGCTGTACACATGATAGTTTCCCAATTTGGAGCACCAACAATTCTTTCTTCAAATAAAATTCTGATTTATGTAACAGCACCAACTTTCTGTCCAGCTTGTTCAGAATTTCATTCTTTAGGGTTCTTTTCACACATGAAAAAGAAGTGGCACCACTCTGACAGCCAAGCAGAGCAATCAGAGTTTAAGGGTTAAGAAGAGCACAGCATCCTACTCTGATTCTCCTACAACTGCATTTAAATTATGAAAATAAATAAACAAAATAAAGCCAACCTGGCCTTGAACACTTGCAGGGATTTGAGGGCAGCTGAGGAAGGATCATGTCCCATTGATGCCCTAATTGCCAAGCCTGACAAGGAGGACAATGCAGGCAAAGTGATTCATTTCAGGATATAAAACTAAACATAAGCTGCAGTGTGAGATGAGCCCTGCAAGGACCCTTCAGGCCACACCAAGAGGAGGATTTGGGGAACAAGGACACCCCTCATTTCTCCCTTTCTAACAGAGCAGAAATGAAAGGAAAGCTCCATTTCCTCACACATCCCCAAAGGAGGGTGGAACTCCAATCCAATCCATTTCACTCCCAGTTACAGCAGTTCAAGGTGAGCAATTTAATTCATAGTCTTAGAAAAATCCATCCTGCAGATGAGGATTTCCAAATGGATCATGCTCCAGAATTTTTTCATTTCCTGCCATGATGTTTGACAGTGTAGGCAGAGATTGTCTGTTCTTACCTCCAAGAGTTTATCACGATCCTTTGGCTATGTGCATTAATAGCACAAAATAAGAAATACAGATTATTTATTTGGCCACATGGCTCAGTTATTGTTCTGTAGAGCTCAAAGTCAGGAAAAGTGACACATACCTTGTGAACACTGGTCCAAGAACTTGGGGAAAAGAAGCCTAAAAAAACAAAAAGTTCACATATCAAGAATGGATATTATTATTTAAGTAAAACATTTACATTGACTTGGACACTGACAGAGTCTCATGAACCAAACCATTTTCATGCTTCTTTCCCTCAAATCCATAAAACTGCAACATCCTCACAGGTTATGTCTTTTAGGACTTTTCCCCCAAAAATCAGTTTTGCAGATAGTTTTAATTCTCCAATAGGCTTGAGAGCTAATTCCCACGATGCAATTTATTCTGTATTCTAAGGAGTCAAAAATGCTTCAATGTTATTTGAATTCTTATTTAAACAATAGGAATTTAAAGTTTGCCCTAAAGAACAGTGCCTTTCAAAGAGTGGGAGCTTTCCATAGAAAGACTGGATGTACAAAATGCCAATTTCTGCTGCTGTATCAAACAAGTGACAATTATTTTCATGAGCTTTATTTTATCACGGATACAAAACCTCAGGAGTGTATTTTACCTGTTCCCTTCAATTCCCTCTCCCCCCTGCTCTGGGTCTGCTAATTCAGAATGGGGAAAAGCTTCATCCCATGCTCATGGAAGAGCTGAATGTCTACAGCAATGAGCTCTGAGGCAGGAAAGGGGTTTGATTTTCTTGAGTGCAAGTTCCAAGCCACACATGAAATCCACTCTGTTCCATTCTCACAGTGAAATAACCAAAGCTTCCCAACTGCAAGGTTTGGCACTGTGTGGCTATTTGGTAAATTCTTATCAGAACAAACTCCAAAGCAAAACAAAAATAATTTGCAGCACAGGCTGAGCCTCTTCTTTCAATTGCTTCTGCACTTCAGGAGACAAACAGTGTTAAAGGAGTGCAGGCTGCTGCTATAACACTACACAGTACCATGACTAGTAACACGTTAGTAAGTTCAAAATACAACAGAAGTGGAACTTGTCTTTCCTATAATTATGGAAAGAACAAGTTTAAACAGCACTCCAGCATCCATTCACCAATATTTGATGTATTTTTCAATATTTATTTGGTATCTTTGTCACGGAGACAAGAAGAAGCAGCAAGGTAAGGTCTATTTATTGACTACTGCAAAGCACAAGCAGCACATTGGTTAGTGTTTGAGAACAGCCAGGAAATGTCAGGAATGCACTTTCAGAAACTGCTTGGGCAGTTCATCTCTAAGCTGTGATGCACAGTTTGATCACAAACAGAAGCAGTGCTACCAACTCGGAAAATTCTAACTGCTGGAACTTACTTTTATCAAATCAGCTGCAAGGCATAATTAAAAAATTGGAGTGTTACAATTTTACAGATAGGTCTGACAAACGATTTCCATGTTTGTGGAAGTCTGGAGCACACACATTTACTATGAAACCAAAGTACTGCAAAAGGTCAGTGACTTGGCTCTGTGACCATTTCCTCCCCACCCTGGCTCTGCAGTAACCCAGGATATCAGATTTTAACACTTGCAATGCTTTTGGCTTCCGTGCTTTGTCATTCTCTTCCCCATTGAAGGGGTTGTTTCCCTTAGATTCCGTATTTTAATCCTGCAAAGTCTTTTTAAACATCCAAAATTAATGGCAGAATTGATAACCCAAAAGTGAGATGCACGTCTCCGTTTTTAGTCTGACTTATAAAAACATTGAAAAAAGAGAATTATTCAGAGGACAATTGACTGTCCAAAAGTTACAAAGCCCTTAAGCAGAGGATTTGTATTTAAACAATTTTTGTTTATTCTTCTAGGAGCTGAACTTTTATTGATATTCTATATAATTATATATCAAGTGCCATCCTGATAAACCAAACAGCACTTCCAAGTTCCTCCAAGGTGGATTATTAAGCAGCTTTTTGAGATTTAAGTCAGTTCAGTGGCTTTTAACCCTCACAAACCACTAATTATTATAAAAGTGATATCAAAAATAGACATATCTGTTCTTAAACTTGTGAAAATATTTCCAGGCACACCTGTGTTCCATGTAGCAGCTCAGAGGCTCCACACAAGTGTTGACTGCTCCAATGATGAAAGAAGATTTCACATCTGGGTCAGGGTGAGTCTGCAGAGCTTGCACAACATCAATGACATCAGTGTACCTGCAAGAAACCAAAATGAAAAATGAGTTCAGAGAACCAGAAGGACACAGAAGAAAAACTGGATTTCTAAAAAAGCAGCCAAAAGAGATGGAAAGCAGCTCAGAACTTGGCAAATCCAAACAAATTAAGCAAATCCAGACAAATCAAGCTGATTGGAAGTTACATTAAAAATAAATTATTAACAAGTCCAGAGAAAAGCAGTGTAAACTTTGCACTGAACAACTGGAAAGCCCAGCTTGCAGGAAGCACAAAAAGCACCATATAACACAAATATTTTATCCTAATGCCAAGCAAATTAAGCACGATTTGAGTTTAAAAGGGAATAAAATAACAGCTCCTCTCATTTATCAGCATCCCAATTTAAACATGTTTGTATCATTTATGCATCCGTTTTTTATCAGGACTTTTGTATTTTATTTCTGTATGACATCAAGGCTTAGGTGAACCTCAGTTTTAATTTTAAGTATTTATTTCTCAGAAAGTTACAAACTTTCCTCTACTGTCAGTTATCAACTGAATGGGATATTTAGAGAACTCCAGCTACTCTAAAGCTGTTTATACCAATATCCAACTATCTAGAAAGAATGAAAAACCTCCATTTATGTGTTCCTGAAGCCAGTGCTGCTACCAGAGTATCAGTTCTTTTGTCCATCACTGGACTTTATACCATCCCTAATAATTACACAATAAAAAATAAATCCATCTGGCTCCAATATGGAAAAAATGATGTTTTTTAGCACTATCAGAATGGATCATAATGAAGAAAATGCTGAGCTCCATTTGTAAATCCTCAGTAAAAAGGATAAAGTGGAAATCATTCCAGCCAGGTCAGGGTAGTGCCTCCCTCACACTGGTTTATGTCACCTTTTAATGACTCAGAACCAGAGGGGGGAAAACATCCTGCAGGTGATCCTGGTTCTCAAATGCTACATTGGAGATGGAAATGTCAAACAGAGGTGGCTCAGTCTTCACCTTTATCCCACAAGGAAAATGGCATTTATCCAAAACATGTCACTAAGCCTTACCCTGCTATCACCTGCTCTATCAGGCAATGGGAGATTTTTGACAGTCTGAGTTCTGCTGATAATTCTGGAATCACAATCACAGAACCACAGAATAGTTTGGGTTGGAAGAGACCTTTAAAGGTCATCTCAGTTCAACCCTCTGCAACAATCAGGGACATCTTCCACTATGCCAGGCTGCTCCAACCTGGCCTTGGACACTTCCAGGGATCCAGGGGCAGCCACAGCTTCTCTGGGCACCCTGTGCCAGGGCCTGCCCACCCTCAAATGGAACAATTCCTTCCCAATATCCCAACCAAATCTCCCCTTTTTCAATCTGAAGCCATTCCCTGTGTCCTGTCCCTCCATGCCTTGTTCCCAGTCCCTCTCCAGCTCTCCTGGAGCCCCTTTAGGCTCTGGAAGGGGCTCTGAGCTCTCCCTGGAGCCTTCCCTTCTCCAGGGGAACATTCCCAGCTTTCCCAGCCTGGCTCCAGCCCTTGGAGAATCTCTGTGGCCTCCTCTGGACTCTCTCCAGCAGCTCCACGTCCTCCTGCTGTTGGTCCCAGGGCTGGGGGCAGCTCTGCAGGTGAGGTCTCACCTGAGCAGGGCACAGGGGCAGAATCCCCCTCCCCTGCTGCCCACCCTGGGATCAGCACAGGGTTATTATGGGCTGTGAGTGCTTCAGAACATGGAAGGAAGGTTAAGGACACCTTTTCTCCAGGAACAACAAAAAAACAACAGGGACAAAAAAAACCCAAAATCTGAGTTCGGTCCATATGTAAACCAGAATTCCCTTATTCCACACAACAATCCCAAGAGTTTCAAGCTTTACCCTTGCAGCACCACCAGGAGCCTCCTGCTCTTCCCATTGTGGGGGTTCTGATGGACCCCAAGGTTCTGCTGGGCCTCCAGGAGCCCAGTCAGGAAACGCTGGAAGTGAGAGGCACTGAAACACTCAGGACTATCCATGGTCTGTCGATAAACAATCCACCTGAAACAGACACAAAACAGGGAAAGCAGTTCATGTGCTGTGACACAACAGCTCTGCTTCCTTCCTATTTTGAACCAACAGACCAAAATGAAAATTTGACAAGCCCAAAGATTCCACTGAACCAACAGACCAAAATGAAAATTTGACAAGCCCAAAGATTCCACATCTCATGGTGATGTCGTTCCACTCGTGGAAAAGGGGAATTGACTTGGCTTTCTATTATTCTTTTAAATCTGTTTTTTTAAATCTATTTTTTTTTTCTATCATTTCCAGCATAAGCACATTCTTTATATGACTGCCAAAGGGGTTTGTGGGTGTTTTATGTTGTTTTTCAATAAAACAATGTTCATCAGCTTTTTGAAAGCTGTGCATCATATGAGTAATTCTGATCACTGGCAGTGATGCAGTAAACAAAAAATTTAGACAAATCTAATTCAGGACTCTGGACATGAAAATATTTCACTGCAAAAATGGAAAGTAACAATGACATTTGCAGAAAACATGAGGAGATGTGTTATTACACATCCTTCAAAAGTCACCTTACATGTCTGCCCTATAACAAAACCATAAAACTGTTCTGATTCAACCTGGTAAAATCAAGACATTGAGTTAAGAGTAAAAAAAAAACAGTGCAGAACATGGCTAAGATTAAATGCTAAGGTGTTTGGCTGTAAGAATTAAAAGGATATTTTTTTATTATTTTCCAGATGCTCTATCAACACACAGAGTGGCAAATTCCTACAGCAGATTTATCTTACTGCCATACAACAAATATCCTGAATGTACCTCAAATCAGGCTAAATTCAAAACAGTGCTGTGGTAAGGACTGCTAGTACAATCTTCTCTCAAAAAAAAAAAAAATAAAAGGCATTTTAGAATCACTATAAATCAACAAATGGAAGCTCTTCACCACGTGGAATAGGCACCAAGGAAATCTTCTGTGTTGTTTTTCTCTCTAAATGTATAAATTTAAGGGCAAAATTACCTGGCAGTCTGAAATCAGGTTTAAAAAAAATGAAACTGTGATAATTTTTTTTTTTTTTTTCTTTCATGCCAAGCTGGTTTTTTTGGTGATCAGTGTAAGCAGAGCTTCACTAACCTCCCGTGCTCCTTGGTAAAAGTGACCAGGAAAGAACAGAGGTCACTGGAACGACACCCTGGCAGCCCAGTGATGATGGTGATGATCACCTGCAACACAGCAACAGGGCCAAGGGAAGTGTAAACACAAAATAACCACAGAAACACTGGTGCAGACACCAAAAAGGCTGTTTTCCATGAATCACATAATTTTTTTTTTCCTTTTATAAAAATTCCCAGTTAAACCAACCTTAAAATCAGATTTTTAAAGCGTTCCTAAAGGTTTATTAATTGTCAGAATGGTCTTTGAACCCAGCAATATTCAAAGGTAAGATTCTATTCCTGCTGCTTGGGCTCTGTTTTCAGCAGATTTCAAAAGCTGGGAAGCTCCAAGGAAATATTTTGTCTGAAAATGCTATTTAAAGCATGCCTTAAGTTGGACAATTGTTATTGCCCCTATAGAGAAAGGAGTGTTGTACAGATAATATCAGCAAATGTTAAATATCATGTGCTACCTCTATGCTATTTAAAGGACTTTTATGTTCCAGAGAACAATTCAGTTAAATTATTCATCAATTCATAAAAACAAGCTGCTGATTTAGGGCAAAGTCTCTCTGGACAGTAGAGAAAACACTTCACTTAAAGATCTACACCTCATTTTCTGCCTCTATTTCATCAGGCTGAAAGGCCATTTGCACTTCCAAAAGAATGTTTAAATGGAAAAAAAATGAAGTACATCACCAGGAAAATAAGATAAAAAGCTGGTGGTAGTGAAGGAGAAGGCAGAGCATGGCTGAGCATGATTAATATTTTATTACACTACAACAGAACCACTGAGAGAATATTCCAAATATTCTCAATGAGGGTTAGGAAATCTTGGGGGGTTGTTTCCTTACCTTATCACCTTCTGCTTTGCTGTCAGAAATGGTTTCTGACTGTTTGAGAAGGACAGGAAGATGTGCTCTCATCACTGGCTTGGTACTGACACTGCTGACTGTGAAATGCTGCATAAACCTTCCAAAAATAAAAGGTTTACTTCTTTACAATTGGCAGCAAAAAAAGATTTCATCCATATAAATAGCTGGGAAATTACTAAAACAAGAGTATTAAAAGGTCAAGCTAAAGAGGAAATAATTCATCTCAGAATAAAAACACCCCAGTGTAAAAGACACAATTATTTAAGAAACATTTTTAGATGGCTATCACATCTACCAAAACATTGTTGTATCATTTCTGACAGAATGAATCCCTTGAACACAAAAGGAATTTCTCACCTCTCCAATTCTGGAATGGCAGCAGACAGTTTCAGCTCCCTGCATCTTTCCCCAGAAGAAAAAGACAAGGCATTGAAGAGCTTCTGAACACTGGAATGCCTGAGAAAAAAAAATTAATTAATCAGTTAAAGGAGAAATCTAAAAATTTCTCCTCTTTAAGCCATATGGCTACACACTAAATGGTACTAAAAAAAATAAAGTGAGTGTTGCACTAAGAATGCAACCATTCTTTTTTAATTATTATCAAAATTTAATTATTATCAAAACCAATAAATAACAGATTTTTTCTGATTGCAGCTTCTAGGCAATTGCACTGCACTGGCAGGAACTTACATTTTCTTTTGTTCCTCAGACAGGAATTCTTCCTGGACAACCCTTAAAGATAATCCTGAGTTTGTCTGGTTTTGCCATGAAGAGAAAACCTGGAATAAACCAGATCTATGCGTGAGTGTCATTTTTTTTCCCCCAAATTTGCTTTGAATTTGTTCAGGAATTGGTTTTGCTCACCTAAAAAAAAAGGCACATTTTCACAAACCATTAAATGCTGCACAGAAAAAGGTTTTGCTGCAAGAGAAGCTGTGGCTGCCCCATCCCTGGATGTGTCCAAGTGTTGGATGGGGCTTGGAGAAACCTGGGATAGTGAAAGGTTGGAATGAGATGTGCCTTGAGGTCCCTTCCAACCCAAACTATTAAAAGAATTCAAATCCACCAATGACATTTTTCCATTTTTTTCTTTGGCTAGACTGGAAGTGCTTTAGGAATTCACTGAAATGGCCTCATTTTGCCTGATAAAAATGTAGGTGTTTATAGCCTAAGTCCTTTACAGCACAACTGAATTAATATTTTGCTCTTTGAAGCACTGCTGTAATTTTCATGCAGTGAGATTGTTGCAATCATTACTCGAAATTTCAGAAAAACTCTGTTGCCTCCCAAAAGAAAAGGAAACTCTTCGTTTCTCTAGGGAATGTTTTGGCTCACATCCAATTGCTTCAGCCAAGACACATTAATCTGAATGGCATTGGGAACCTAGAAATCAGATTCAGATGAATCACAAAGTCCTGTCAGGGTTTGGAATTTCCCTTCTTTTCATAAAGTAAAGACAAGAGCCATTGTCATTTTTCACAATAACTGTCTGCAAGACAAAACAACTGGGGGGGGGAACACGAATGCTTTCCATTAAAAACTCAGCATCCCAAACACAAGGGTAGGAGATAAAATACTTCAAAATAAAATATACTTTTGATATTAACAAAGGCAATATTGCTCATGCAGAAGGATCCACACAACTAAAGAAACAACCACTTCAAAATAAACAGAAGGGACTCAAAGAAATGCCTGGGAGGGATGGAAAAAAAGGAATAATCAAGAGAAAATTGTGTTCTGTGAGAGTCAAAGGGTTGGGGATAAAGTGAAAACATAGGTCAGGCTAAAAAGTGGAAATATATTTGGCCCTTTTGTATAATTTAAGGAAAGTTTAAAAAAGAGCTGCTATGGCATCAAAGAAAAAAAAAAAAAAAAGAGAGAGAAATCAACACATCCCTAAGCCTAAACAAATTCTCCTCCTGTACCTTTAGAGGGAGGATGGGAAAGGCATCACCTCCTCCTGCTCACAGGGTCTGCACAGCAGATTTCTGCTCTGTTTTTAACAAATATCTCAGTTTTTTAACAAACCCAGATTTGGCTGACAGGGCACTTCCAATTCCCTATTTCCAGCAGGCTTGGAATAATCAAAGTATAGGTGCAGTGAGTGAGGTATCAAGCCAGATAATTGAGAAGAGTAGAAGCAGCACCTAAAATTTTAGGGAATCTTTGTAACCTGTGAGGCACACAGACTTTTAGACAGAATTTTGGAGGAAATCAATACACACCTTAAGGCAAATACTGACAAAGCACAAAAATATATTTCCATGGTTTACACAATCAGGTACAATTTGATGAAAAGTTTTGTTCATGAGAGAATATCCTGAAGACAAAAGGTTTGTTTTATCTGCTTGAAGAAAGCAACTGGTGTGGTGCCAGATGAGAAACTTAAACTGCCCAAACTGAACATCAGTGTGGAACTGTTCAGCCAAAAAAAAAAAAAAATTAACTCAAAGAAAGAAAGGAATAAATAGCCCTGAGAAAAAGCACCAGAGGAAACAAACACCCTCATCTCAGATACTACACACAGTTTGGATATCTACAGCCAAAAACCAGATCAAAAGAAAAGCATTACAAATATCAGAAGAAAGAAAGAACTTTTTATAGGCACAGATTAAAAAGAATCTGGTTTTGTTTTATTAGGCCAAATAAAGCAGAAAGAATAGCTCTGAGATTTTTGAGTATCTCAAGGATGTCTTCTGGTAGAGAAAAGAAAAATAAAACAGATATAAAAGTAGCATTAATAAAACAGGCTGAAAATTCAAATACAAACAAACAAGAGATTGCCAACCATTCACAGAGTGGAACAGTGGGAGGAATTTAAACACTTGAGATAAAAGGAGGAGATATTTTATGGTACCATTAATACATCCAGTGGGGACTACTCACTGAGCTAGGTGGTCTTTTCTAACCCAGTGTGATGAGCACATCCTAAAACCCTTGTGAAGTCCTAAAAATCTCCAAGGCTCATTTCCTCAAAAGCACTATTGTTGTAAAGTTGGGTTTATTAAAAGCCTCTGCAGCACAATGCACCAATCCAATCTACTTAGGGAATAATACAATGCCATATGGGAGACTTCAAAACTTTTAACTCCACTTCCCCCACGGATCACCATCCAAATGTGTGTGACCACAAAAACACACAATGGAACCTCTGCCACTCCATACAATCCCTGTAGCAAATTAAACACCAGAGTTACATTGAAATGCAGCTCAGAAAAGGGAGTTTTTAGAGCCCTCGTTGCCTTCAGAAGGCAAAGTGAAAGCACATGGGGAGCATGAAACTCAACGAGCAGCACCATCACTGGAAATTCAGACAGAAATTCCAGTTTCTCACACATCTTAAACACACAGAGCACTTATGTGGTTTCTCCCCCAACCCCAACCAAACTTTTTTTTGTTTTTTTTTTTTTTTACTTTACCTGTGAATAAAAAGCTTTATAAATCTTTCTTTTGGGGAAAAGTGCAAACATCAGAAAGTTGTTCTGGGTGTGGAATTCAATGGGGAGATGAGGAAGCAGGGAACTTTTGAAGTCTATAAAGAGAGCAGCAACGATGCTGTTGGAATCCTGGAAAAGGAAGAAACAGGACAAGTTAAAATTAATATTTTCTGCTTTGCATGGCACAGGGATGGAGCAGGAGAGGTGGAGAACCCCTCAGTTTCTACTCTGCAGCTACTGGAGATATCACAAGCTTAAAATAAAGTTTGATCAAACCACTAAACTTTTGTCCTGAAAACAAAGCTTGGATTTTAAAATCTTCCTCTGTCCACACCAAAATCCAGACCCTTCCTCTGCTACTGCTTCAAACAACAAACTCTGTACACCCACATCTCCAACACAGACACCAGAAGAAAAATGAATTAAATGCCAGCTAAAAAGGCTCCATTTTTGTTCTAAGAAAACACTGACTTGTTTTCCTTGGGTTATTTTTTAGTTTGTTTTTGGGTTTTTTTCCCAGAGTGGTGGGAAATAGCCCATCCCTGGAAGTCCATGACTCATTCCATGACTCTAGAATCCAGGACAGGATCTTATATCCAAATCTGCAGGATGCTGAAGTGTTTTATGTTGAAGCTCTCACTTGTAACCCTTTTCACATCGAAGTTTTAGAAAACCAGAACAATTCAGAAGCACGAAAACATTTCTGGGAAATGGGAATTCAATTATGTAGGGCTCAAATCAGAATTTTCGTGGCATCCACTTCACTTGCAACAGAAATGGGTAAAGAACTCACTGTACTCGTTGCTGAGAAGAAAAAGCTGAAGTTGGGGAACTGTTACATAAAAACTGGTATCAACTCAGAGACATTTGCAAACAGAATCTCTCTGCTTTGCTGACTGAGGGATTAATTACTAAAATAATCCTCCCAAAGTCACCGAGGTTACTGAAGAGCACATAAAAATATTCTCCTCAGAGAGAACAATTTCTTTTAAGAGAAAATGGTTTTTGGAACAGAATCCATGGATCCTGGATTCTGCAGGATGGCTTAAGAGATTTCCTGAGAAGTGACTCCAAGGCCAACTCATCCACACTGCTGTCATCATGAGAAGTGTCCAAAAAAATCTGCTCCTGGAAAACATTTTGGGCTTCAACAAATTGAAAAAAGCTGAAAAGCAGCAGCAGCAGCAGCAGCAGCAGCAATAATCCCCACGGACAGGAGGTTGAAAGGAGCCAGCTCCAAGTTTTACAAGATGTTAAAATCGTTGTGAAATCTAAATATTGCTTTGGTAATATTTGTTCACTTGATGAATGGCCAGGATCTCCCCTGCCCTCTGTGCATTCCATGAGCTCCAAGGATTTCAGGAGCTCAGTGCCCAGTTCCTCACAGCAGATGCTGGAGCACAAGTACAGATACTTTCAAGTTAAAAAGAAGAATATTTCACAGGCATCACGCTAAAGCTGCTAAAAAAAACTTCATTTTGCATCACTTCAAGGCTTGGTATCTTTTATTTTAATCAGAATATTAAATTCTCCTTTTTCTTTTCCATCCATATTGCTGCAGTAACTTTTGGAAAGAGCAACCAATGATTTGCCTGCTTCTCCTGTCACTTCTTAACAGTTTCAAATCCCTCCACCCTCATATTCTGCCAAGTCAGTAGAACAATAATACACTCCCTGTCAAGGCTTAGCTTCACAAAAAAAAAAAAATCTGGCATCATTTCAAGAATGATGGCCAGGTCCCAGAAATAGCAACTTTTATGAAAGTGAGTGTCTTGACACAAACAATCAAAGGAAGGTCAGTGTTAAAATAGCTTCAGAAACATCAATATGATGTCCAAGAAAAGGCAGCTAAGGTAAGACTCTCTGAGCTGCTGTGTTTTCATCTCAATTGAATCACACACTTTTATTGTATTTTACTGGTTTCCTGTATTGTGTGATGAAATCACCCAGCACAATGCTGCAGGAGGCCACTGAACAAATGGGGAATACTGTACTTGAACAAAAGGGAAACTAAAGGAAACCGATTTTTTTTTTTTCCCAGCGTTTAGGAAACGGTAACCAACACAAATAATCTCTTTTCCACCCTGAAGAAGTGATGGTTAACCCAGTGTCTCTGCCTCGAGGTGGACAGAGCTGAGCTGCCACCATTCACCTCCCAATTCCCATTGAGCCTGAACACTGCTCTGGTGGCCAAGTGAGAGATTCAAATATATTTTTAATAAAAGGCAGAATTTCACCCTCCAAAACACCCCACGACTTCACCACACCTCGAACTCTTCTCTGTCCATCCCTTCACACTGTCAGATGTTTGATGAATGTTGTGCTCTGTAATTTTTCTTTTAATATAAAGCAGTTTTCACACTATTAACACCACATTGCTAACTCCCAACACAAAATTCTCCCCTCCTTACTCACTCATTTCAGTTAATCAGCACCAAAACTGCAGGCATTTGCATCACTTATTACAGACACTTAAAACTGAAGCTGAAATCTAAACTTTGTACCAGGACCCAAAAGAATCATTGCTAAAAATTGATGTAAACTTGAAAAGAGACAAAATACTCACCCCATCATAAAGAGAAATGGAACTCATGTGGTTCTTGGAAATGGAAATGCTGCCATGGTGGGGATCACAGAACAGAATTCCATCAGAAAAGAAATACAATTTGCCTAGAATTAGAAGGAAAAAGAATTGTAAGAGATAGAAATCAACATTTCAGCTTCTCATGATGGCTGTCTCGTCTTCCTGAGGTAGAAATCTCTGATTCCTGCAGGATTTCGTTGTATTTAACAAGCAGTAAAATTTGATTTGGGATAATATTTAGTGAGCACAACCATTCAGTCTTGACTGGATCTTGCTACCAAGGGCAGGAATCATGACTATGTCTGCACCTGAGTTCATGTGACCCCACAGAAACACTCACCATAATTATTCTGAAGCACTTTTTAAAAATTAAAAGCAAAAAAATTCCATCCAGTCAAATTTCCTACTTCCAGAAATACAACTTGACAACACAAGAACTTAAGTAAAGTTCAAACAATTGAAAATTTCAATATTGTAATAAACTGAACAGTGTAAACACATTTAAATGGAAATTTAAGCACTAAATTTAATTTAAACTTTTAAAAGTAACTTAAAATTTACCTTTTAAATTTAAATTTAACTTAATAATTAAATGTTTTGGAGCAACCTGGGCTAGTGGAAGTGTCCCTGCCAATGGCAAGGGGTTGGAATAAATGTTCCTTAAGGTTCCTTTCCAACCCAAACTATTCCATGAATTTTATGCACCTTTTGCACCTCAGGGCTGCAACCTCAGCAGAGCTCAGATTTGACCACAACAAACTGAGCAACAAAATCAGTTTTACTGTCACTTGACATCTAAAAAAAAAAAAAAAAAAATGAGCAACAAAATCAGTTTTACTGTCACTTGACATCTAAAAAAAAAAAAAAAAAACTCCCACTCCTTGCAGTGTTTCATCTTTTATAGCACCTACTTGTAACTCTCCAGCTCAAAAGTTAGTAAAATACTGAACTCAAAAAAAAATATTAAAAAAAAAAGGAAAAAGGAAATTGCTCCTTTGGGGCACACAGAGCCAGTTTTAACAAAGCCCCCCCCCCCAAAAAAAAAAAAAAAAAATTATCCAGCATTCTCCAGTTATTTACTGAGTGAACAAGTGCCCACAGCAGTGCATTGCAAAAGAGCTGAACATCACATTGTGCATTAACCTCTTTCCTTTGAAATCTGATCAATTAGAGCAAAAGCAGCTTCCCTTATGGGAGGCTTGCTGTTTAATTGCCTTGCACATCATTATTTATCCTCAACACTCCAGGCCAAAGACAATAAAGCTGAAGGTTCTCCTCTAAAGCCTGTCAGCACCAAGCACTTAATGTCATATTCACCACCTTCTGCACATCAGCACTGTGACAGCAACACCTCCCCTGCAGAAAATATATACATAGAATATAAAATATTATGCTTTTAAAAGGATCTGTTAACTCAAGGCATGAGGAGGGAGGGAAATCTAACAGTCCTATTGAGTTGTCTTCAGTCTTATTCCTGGGATATTCACATTATTTAAGTTCTTGAAGGAAAAGGCACCAAAAAGAGGAGGAATAATCCAAGACTGCTGTCAGGGATCTGAGAAGGACCAAAATCAGGCATTTTTCTGTACCACAGTGAGCACCTGTGCTGATAAACTCTGAATTCCTGAGAGAAAATGCCAATGGCAGAAAATTGGAACACATCAGCTCCAAGAAGAGGCTTTGAGAGGAATATTTGCCTTTTCCTCCTGAGCTGGGAGCCCACAGCACTGCTGCAATGGCCAATCTTTCCAACCTCACATTTATAAGAGACAGAAAAGGCAGAAAACATCTGGCACCTCATCTGTTCAGGGCAGGAAGAGCCAGTGTGTGCATGTTGTGAATGTGAGTTACAGGGAACAGGCACCTCCCACCTCTGCAAAGCCTCAGGGACCAAAGCTCAGCAGGAATTCTCCTTCCAGGACCACGACTTTGGGGCAGAGGTTGGGGACAAAAGAATCACCAGGTGGAATTAAACACCAGAGACTTGTAAAGGCAAAATGAAAGCTTAAGGTGATGGCACAGCTTGGCTCACTCTTCTCTCGTGTTTAAAAACAAAACAAAAACCACCAAAACAAGAAAAAAAAGCAAAAATAAAAAAAAACGACCAAAACCCCCAGCTGCATCTCACCTTCTTCAGGCATGGCCTGTGGATTGCTGGAACAGATATAAACTCCATCACCACCAGTGAGTAAAGTGCCCAGGAAAGATTTGTCTTCCTAAACAGGAAAAAAAAAAAAAAACAACAGCAACATCACAGGCTGGATCAAGGACCAATCCAGGCAGGAACATTTTCTCCTGCTTTTGCTCCAAGAGAAAATATTTTCTTTTCAAACAGCATCTGTCAAGAGCTTTAGAAGAGTTTTATCTGCATGCATACAGAAGGACCAGGGAAAGAGAGCAAGGCAAGAGGATAATTTTTAAAAGCCTTCCCCCATTTTGGTTTTGCCAGCAGCTATGAAGTTACAAGTTATTGTCACAACCACAAGGCTGGAGCTTTTTGTTTTTAGTTTGTCAATCTACTGAGCTAAAAGTATATTACATGAAAATAAATCTTCTTATAATGAACATTCCTGGGAACCACAAATTACACCACAAATGTGAAACTCATGTGATTTAAGATGTTTCCAGATTCCAAACTCTTTTTTTTTTTTTTCCTAGTGCTTAGAGTGTTTTCCTTTAGACATTAGCATGATAATTAAGTTAAAAGAAAGTTGCATCAAGTTTTAGGGGTTTTTGGAAACACATGAGCTCCATGAGTAATGTTTAGTGAGACTTCCATGAAATCATAGTTTTATTAGGCCTCTTTTTGCTCTTGGATTGTGTGATTCTTTGAAATAAAGAAACCCTCAGATTTTTACACAAAATATATAATTTTGTATGCCAAAATTTGGAAAAGGGTAGAACAGAAAATCTTGTACAAGAGAAGTAACACACATAATAAAAAGACAGTTTAGTAGTAGCTCAAAGTTTTTTAAATACTGGTTCATCAAAGTGCATCTTCTTTAGTTTAACAAAAACATTTAATTTTACCTTCAATACTTGCTGTGCCTTTTCAGACAGCTTCACATCACTGTCTTCAACCTGCAGCCAGAAACAGCTTCCATTTGAATTGTGATTTATATAAATAAAGCAAATCTAACAAACATTAAATAAAAAACATTAAAGAAGTTTTGAGGTTATCAAGAACCTTAGGTACCACTGACAGAAAAATACCTGAGCCCAGAATGTTTCAAAAACAATTTTGTGCTCTTAATACTCTGTTACCATGGGACCAAAATAATTTCTTGCATCACATTCTCAACATTATTTTGTTTTATAGACTAAGATAATATTATAGAGATAGAAAGCATGCAGATTTATTTTTTATTATTGCATTGCCAAAGGGCAATGCCCAGCTTTGTCATATTCTTTGAAATTCTATCTCTCTCACAGTGCAGTGCATTAGAGGTCCTGAATCAGACTTTACTTACTTTTGGGGTGATGTAAAATACCTCACAATAAACAGAATTCCCAAAATTCACATTGTGCACTTCAAAAAACACCCAGACCTTTAAAGAGCTAAAACCATGACGAGGTAAAAATGAAACCATTTAAAACCAGTGCTATGGATGGAACCATCAGCTTGTTCCCACTTGATTTTTCCTTTATTATCCAAGTCTAAAAAAAATCTGTTTTTTTTTTTTTATTTTCCCTCAGACACTCCCAGTCCCGGAGCAGGTTTTGCTCGGTGCTGTCACTCACCAGCCAGGACGCCAATCTGGGGATGGCTGAGGTCAGGATAACGTGCCTGCAGTCTGGATGGATGCTGCCATCTGCAGGGAAGCCACGGGAAGCAAAAAGCAGTGCAATCAGGGAATTAATTTAATTATTAAAGTTGGAAAAAAAAAAAAAATCTCTCCAAGGTCACCAAATGCAATTTTTGTTCTGTTATCACCGTGGCCACCACCCCCATACTTCAGAATGCCCAGTATGTTACTTTTAAGACTTGAATTTCTTTAGTAAATATGAAAATCTTATTATTTTAAGGATTTCTGAGTGTTTAAATGAAGCTTTCACAGCAGATTAACTCAGAGTCCTCTTGTGCTCTGACATACAAAGAGCTGCTACAGAGTTCCAAAGAAATCCTGATTTTTTCTGATTTTTCCATGGCTTCTTCCTTTGCTCTTAGTGTTCCAAACTCAGAGTAACAGCAAAAATATCCATTAAATTCCTCTGGCTTTTCCTTCACAGCAAAAGGATAAGAATGGTGTTAAAATTTAAACCACTCACCTTTTTCTTTGACCTGTATCTGGGATGTCAGGAAGGATTCTGAAAACACAACAGACCCCAAGCAGCCTCTGCCTGTGAGCAGGTCTGGAATGTCAAACACCATCATGGATGCCTGCAGCAATCCAGCAGGTGGAGGGAAGGGAAGAGAAAGCAAAACTTGAAATATTTCAATTGAAACAGAAAAATCTGCGTTTTTTCAAACACCCTAAACCACTATATTTCTATACTGAAATAAAGAAATATTGAAATATTTTCATTTTTGGTTTTAAAGCCTGAGATCATAAATCTGTGTTAATGTTTTATTCTGGATTTTGACTTCTTGTTAAATCTGTTCTAGCATCTGAAATTTCTCTCTTCATTTATACTTCTATTCACATAAAAATCTCAGCATGCCCCAGAAAAACAGATATTTGAGCTCTATTTTCCAATTAAATAAATAAATATTATGATTTCTTACCGTTTTGATCAAACTCAGGCTGTCCTCGTTATCTAATGGAATAATTCTAGAACAACAATGATAATTAAATATTTAAACGTTAGATCATCTTTCTGTGACTCCATAGCAGGCAAAAAAGCTGTTTTATTTTAAAATAAACTCTTATTTATGCAGGTCACTTCAACCAATTAGTGTGGGGATTAAATAAGCACAAGTTTGTGATATCAACCAAGTTAAAAGCATTTTTGAAAGGAAGCTCTTAATGAGCTCATGCTGCTTCTACTCATTAACAGTTAATAAAATTAAGTCTGCCCAACTGCTTTTTATTCCTTTCAATGTTTTGAAGATTCCACAGAATTACAGATATGAAATCACTGAACTACCTCATACACAAAAGCATTTAGCACATCTTGTATAAAATAAACACAAGGGTTTTTGCAGGAGCTCCAAGAGGAGAAAAATTCATTTATTAGTGCATGAAAAGTACTAATTAATAAGAAGAAGTTGTAAGATAGTGATACAAACCTGCCATGGTTGTTCACAGCCTGAATATGAAAAGCGATTTTGGAGCTGTAGAACAGAAATTGTACAGGTGAAATGTGTGGTTTGAACTTTTAAATGGCAAAAATAAGCAGGAATAGACTTAAAGCAAAAGAAGTGATTTAAAAAAACTGGAAAATTGAATAATTATATTGATTTTTTTAAAGGCTGAATGCATTATGAAGTCTTGAAATCTGGCAGTCAGGCAAATTCAGTTTAAAATTTATATATTTTAGTCTATAATTGGTATTTTTTCCCCCCAAAGAAACCAATGCAGTGAGACAATGAGTAACTCTGGAAATACACACCGTAAAGCAGATTTCAGCTGTGCTAAGCCAAGGGTGTCTAACACAGACAGGAGCACCTGCTCTGCCACTTCCTTTGCCTGAAAAAAAAAAAAAGGAAATAAAAGAATCAAATAATCCTTTTCCATCCTTCCAAATCCCAGCAGCTCCAGAAGCACCCCTAAGATCAACAAGAGACACTCAACAGTAACACACTGACGCACCAGGCTAAAATTTGTTTTTTCACACATCTCATTTTCCTCACTATGAGGTCAAGAAAATTCATGAGAAGATGGAAAATCAACTGGAGATGAGTAAAATTAGACACAGTCTGAGATCTCTTTTATTTATTTTTTTTTTTTTAAATAGAATTCAGAGCCTGGTTGGAGGCCAGGGTATGAACCTTGTATCATTCCACGGAACGAAAACACGTGAATTAAAATCCTTTTGCTTTTCATTTTTAATCTCATGCTGCAAGCAATCCAAATCAACAATTACAGAGAGAGAGAGAGAACAAATTACAGGGGGCTTCATTTACCTTGGATTCAGTGGAAGTTTTAGCATAGCACTCAATGCCAGCAAGCACAGCCTCTACAACAGCAGAATATATTTGCGACAACAGCGTACTGAAGAGAAATACAAACACAACATTTACTGGACAGGTAGAGTTTCCTTCCTCCTCTCTTTAAAGGAGCAGTTTTTCCTCTCATTAATAATAAGGAAAGGGTCCTTGTTGAAATAAGTGAAGTTGTTTATAGTTAAGCTTTTCTGTTTAAGAAAATTAAATTAGAGCGAGGAAATTGCTCAAATTACAGGATATTTTGGGGAAGTAACTCTCGACATAAATGTATCTGGTGTTTTTGATAGTCAGGAATAAAAAAAAAAAATAAAAAAAATCTGTTTTACTGTTGACTTTTGCTGCAGTGGGGTTTAAGAATCACATCCTAAATGCAGGGCCTGGAGTGGCCAGGACAAGGGGGAATGGCTTCACACTGACAGAGGAGAGGGATAGATGGGATTTTGGGAGGGAATTGTTCCCTGTGAGGATGGGGAAGCCCTGGAAAGGAATTCCCAGAGAATCTGGGGCTGCTCCATCCCTGGAAGTGTCCAGGGCCAGGCTGGACAGGGCTTGGAGCAGACTGGGACAGTGGAAAGTGTCCCTGCTGTCCCTCCCACTCCTGGCAGGAGATTGGAATGAAATGACCTTTAAAGATCTCTTCCAACCCAAACCATTCCACAATTCCATGAAATCCCCATCTCAGCTCAGTCCAATTCCCTTCTTAGAAGGGGACTGAAAAAACTGTACAGAAATAAATCCAAGTCAGGTGAAGCCAGGAGTGACTTTCAGTTATTGACACATTTACAGCTCCAGAACCAATGGGAAAAACCCACATTTGTCCCAAACCAAGGAACATCAGCCTCTCTTTTCCTGCTGAATTACAACAAAATTACTCCCTAAATTTTAAGTTTTCTCATTACTCCACTGCCAATATTGAGGGAGGGAAGAGAAGGATACAGCATTTAAGCCAAATGCAAAGCATTCCTCAAGGATAGAAAAAAAAAGCACCTGAAGATCCCAGACATGGAGGAACCTCAAAATGCACCAAAGCTTGTCCTTGATCATCCCCAACAGCAGCAAGAGATTTTAAAATTCAGATTTCTCACTATTTTTTTCAGGTTTCTGCATTGAAATTTCCTGTGCTTTCCACATGCACCTAGCACGTTTTCTCTGCACCCAGTAAAGAAATGTAATTCCTTTATATTATAATTCTTCCAGACTTTGCAACCATTCCTATTTTCCCCTCAAATTCACATAAATATTTGCAAGAAAACACCTCAGTGAGCTGCCCTTTATCTTAATTCTTCTTTCCATTTAAATATTTTAAAGCTAGCAGTGAAAAAAAAAAAAAAAGAAAGAAACAAGGTACAGGATTTCTGTTGTGTTGCTTTCAAAGTATTTTCTTAAAATACAACCACAAAATTTATCCCAGTTTATCCTTCGATTTACAGAATTGGTTTATGCACTCCAAGCAATCACTACAGCCAAATTTGGGATGAACAGTGTTCATAAAATACTTTTTATTTCACTTTTTAAATAAAATATTGACAACTTTAAGAAGCAGTTAGAGGACCCAACTGCAAACTAAGTCAAAAATCACGAGTTCAGGTTAGTCAAAAAAAACCAATTATGCTACTACTGCTGAAATTAGATTATTTGAACCAACATAAGGATGCTTCCAATAAAAATATATTCTTTTTAAATTACTGCCTCTATCAACTCCTGCTTTGTTTAGAGCTGCTCTCCTCATCTTGATTAAAATGCATTTAGTGCAAAGGATTTTTGAAGGAGGACAAAAATGTTTGAGCAGAACATAGATGCAAGAAAAAAATACCTGTTGGAGTTCAGTTTTCTCTCAAAAAAAAAAAGGAAAATCTGCTGTTCAGTGCAGTAACTCCATTTTTATGTCTCACAATTATCAAGAATCAACAGCATTTAGAGTGACACATCTTTAATATCTTTAATATCTTGCTACCAGGTCGTGCAGCTTTGCAGAAGCAAAAACAGGCTCCTAAAATGACCCCCAACTAATAAGGAGGACAAAATCTCTAAGGAAAAATTTTGGTTTATCAAGAGATAGAGCAGGAACCAAAGCAGATTATCTACTGTGCTCTGCAAGCTGGACAGGGATCTACAACATGCAGAGGAAGTGGAGATCAACATGGATAAATAAAGTGGGATTTTGAGAAGGTTAAAATGTGCAGAAGCTTTGCAGCTTCCCAACTTTTGGGGAAAATTAACTTTGAGCTGACTTTAACACAATGAATTCCTTCCCAAGTTTGAGTGTTCCCTGTTGGCATTTTCACTAAGCATCAGGAAATCTTACACAAATGAAACTGGTAAAAAAATTACTTTTTTCTTCTAGCTGTGAAAGATGCTGAAGTGTGAGAGACTTTTTCCCCTTGGTTTACATGAAGTATCTTTAATAATTATTCGAGTGCTATTTTTTTACTACAATTTGAGCAAAAATTTACCAATATTTCCTTTCCTGTTCTGCTGCTGTCACAATAACAACTCCTCATGTACCCACTGAAACTCCCCACAAGCATTTTGCTTTTGAAACCGTGTCCCATGCACATTATTCAGCATAAAAATATCTCTGCAAATGCCAACAGCCACTAAAAGCAGGTTTCACCTACTGCCACAAGGCAGAAAGAGAGAAGAGTTAAGGAATAAAATAAAAAAATTGGCAGCTTACACTTGCTCAGCTGGCTTGTGCATCTCATTGTCATTTCCTGTATTAAAACAAAAAAAGGTTTGGTTAAAGCACTCTGAGAAGATTTCTGCTGCACATCTTACATGGAATTTATCCAGTATTTTATGCTACTAGGACAAACAAAGGCTGTAATTCCAATTCTCCAATCATCCTCTCTTCAGCTTTTCTGAGCCCAGTATAGGTTAAAGATAATTCTAAGGACTGACTTGATCCATGGACTCTTCCAGCCATTTAAAATACATAAGAAAATGGGTTTTTTAAAATTTTACATGGCTTTTTTTTTTTTAATTTGGGAATACAGCTATTGTAACTCATTATACTGAGGATAAAACATAGAAGTGAAAAAATTCTTTTCATCCTTCTAAAAATCCTCATTACTTGACAACAACTAACTTGAATTACTGTATTTTGGATATTGTTTTTTGATAAATTCATATGGAACATGGACTTAAATAAGGGTCTGCACCCTGAGATCTGACAGATTTTATGTTTAACATTCAAATCTGACAGATTTTACCCACAAAATCTGCAATGATCATGCACTACATGGCTACAGAAGGTACCACTCCATGGCCTGATGTTTATAAAGGAAGGAAAGCTTTTAAATGCTATAAATTTTCATGGATTGTGAGGTAATAACTGCCTTGCTGTATTTAATGAACTTACCCAGGAAAGGAATGTGAGTGGCTCCAAAAAAATAGGTCCTTGAACAAGCCAGAGGTCCCTTTGGAGATACACACTGCACTACCTAGCAGTCAGTATTAATGAGATACAAAAGACATCAGTAAAACAAATTGGTGCACTAATTAACAATTAACTACATTCCCCTTAAGTCTTCTAAGCACTGACAGACTACAGAAGTTTACAACACAGACGGAACTGGATTGTGAAAAAGCAACTTACGTTTTCAAAGGTCTATTTCACTTTTGACTTGACCTGAATGGTTGAAAGACTTTGCAAAGGAGAGATGAGCTCTGACTTGTGTTTTCAATTTCCTATGTCAACTGCTCTTTTCATGAAGAGGAAAGTGTGTCACGTTCCCATAACTATGCTGGCACTTGGTCTTATTTACTATTTTCATGACACCCTATTAAAACAGTATCACCTGTACCTGTAAATAAACCACCTTTTTAAGAACAGCATCAGAATCTGAGGACAACAGAAGGAGCAAGTACATCAGAATAACACAGTACTTGCATTTTCAAAGGCATCAAATGGTATCTAATTGTAAACAAGGGAAGGAAAGACAGAATTGAAAGTGTTTTTTACAGAAACAGCAGCAAATGGAGGATGAGATTTCACCAAGATGCAAAACCACTCTTTTCTCAGGCTCTGGGCAGGTGATTTGTGCCCAGAAGCCCCCACGTCCATCCATCCCTGAGGCAGCTGCACATGGAAATGTTGAATTCATGAACTCATGGCCTCACTCATGCGCTCACTCCAGCACTGCCTGCTCTCAGCCACATCCACCTGGCCAGGGCTCACAGCACTCCCAGAGCCCCTGGAGGCAGCAGGGAGCTCTCTCCACACTCTACCTCTCTCCTCCTTCGCTGCCAGTTGCCTTCTGGAGCCACCCAGGTCCTCCAGGCAGAGGATCCCAAATCCCTGGGGTCGCCTGCCCAGGTACGGCCCCTGCGCCGCAGAGCGACGAGCCACGGACCTCAGCAAATGTTTAATTACCCAGCTTTTACTCGGAAATGGAAACGAGTTAATCTTTGCAACTTCATCACAACAGTCCTGGAACTGGGAAAGGCTTTTTTTCAGAGTTTCATCAAGAGTTGTTGAAGCACACACACACACACACACTGGAATTTGGATACGTGTCGGTATCCCACGTTTATATACAAAGGTATTATTAAAAAAAAAAAAAAAAAGTGGCTTTTCATTTCTTTTTTAAGAAATGGCTAAATAAATGTGATCAAAATAGAATCTGTGTGTCACAGTTAAGTGTATCACAGGTTTTCACTTTGTGGCCAGGACACACATCCTCACACAAAGAGCATTTCCCTCTCCCCCATCCACTTACAGCAAAAATTGTCTTTTTCCAGAGAAAAAATTATTTTAACTCATTCAGCAGTCCCTGATTAAGAATCCACTATAGTTTAACTTGCAAAGAGCAAGAAAAATCAAATTTCTTCCTTAAACTTATGGACTGCTAAGGTGTTTTATGTTAAGAAGAATTAAGTATTTAACACATGGAAGACAAGCACAAAAAAAAATACAAATTAAAAGAGAATATACAATGCTTCAAAATCTCAGATAACTTCTCCAAAGCCTTACCATATGCTTGGCAGTGCTTCCACCAAGGCCAGTATTTCGGACCAGATGTCCTTCAGATGGAAAATTAAAGTTCCCAGAGTTCAAGTTTTCCTTTGTGGAGTGGCTGCCGAAAAGGACGAAGGGCTGCCGGCTCGGGCTGAGGAGGAGAGAGAAAAAAATCATCACCAAAAAACCTGCAGGAAGTTTACAACTAACAAATGAAATCAAATCTTTCAAGTGTGATGGACCAACTGCTGAATTTCTCACTGTAAGAAAAAAAAATTATTAAAGCTGCACAAAGCTTCTCAGTGAAAGGACAAAGTTCTAAAGAAAAAAAAATCTACTGGCATTTAAAAGATAATAATTTCTTTCAAATACAATAAACTTATCTCAAGGTTGTTCCCAAATACTCTTAGAAGATTCTTTTATCTTAAACTGCCTTTAAAAGCTGCTTAGTTTAAAATTCACCATCTTGAAAAATCCTGAAATGATCGTGCTGGAAATAAACAAAACTATTTTGGGTTTAATTCTGGCTTTGAGCCCAAGACTCAGCTGGAGAGGTCAAGGATTTTCTTTTTTTTATTGCAATGCAAACACCAGAAGATGCTGCCAGCAATAAAAGCCTTTGAACTCCACTGGTTTATTCCAAATACAAGAAAATGTGCAGAGAAATTGAAGTAGCTAAAAAAAAAAACCTGATTAGCTCAAAACAGCAAAATGTGGATTTTGCAACACAAACTTCAACTAAACAATAACTTTTGGTTAAAACTCTCTCACAGAATCACAGGATGGTTTGTTTTTTTTTTTATGTATGAGGTTTGATAGACTGAGGTGATACCAAAAAGAATTGTAAGCATTATGGTATCAAGGATATGGAAATAAAATATTGAGGTAGTAATGACACCAGAGGAAATAATGAGTAATAATTACCTGTTATCTGTTATATGGCTTGAGATCATGCCATGGCTGAAATAACTTCTGAAGGGCTGTGAAGAATTGAAAACAAAAATTAATAAGTAGCACATGAAGAGAAGCATGAAATATCCTCTCATTAATTAAACCTGAATTAACCTTCTCAGAGAAAACTCCTGAACCCTCAAAAAAATCCTTCCAACCTCCACAAACAAACACAAACATCACCAATTCTCTTTTATTATTAAATCATTGAATGGTTTAGGTTGGGAGAGACCTTAAAGCCCATTTAGTTCCAACTCCCTGCCATGGGCAGGGACAAGTTCCACCATCCCAGAGGAAGCAATAAAAAGCTTTAAAAAAGTATGAAAATGCTTTAAAAATTATTAAAAAGCATCAAAATGCTTCAAAATGCAACAAAATGCAACAAAAAAGCATCAAAATGCATCAAAAACAACAGCCAACCCTACAAATCTGTGCTTTTTTTCCTCCCATGCTCTGTGCAACCCCCTCAGTTATGTTTGAAGTTTGAGATGTGCAAATTCAGTTTGTTAAGCCCTGCACATACCAGATCCCATCCAACTGCAAGTTAAATCTACCTACAAATATCTCCTGTGCAGATATAAATGGAATTATCAGTGAGCAAACACTTGACTGAATTACCCCAGCAGTCCTAAACCATCATACCATGGATTTTTTTAAGGTGGGTGATGACTTTAAAAAACCCAAACCATGCGTTTTTATTTTCCAAATATGAAAAGTGAGATGGAATAGGGGGAAAAAAAAAAATAATGCTGAATAATTATTCCTTCTGCATGGATACCAGCAGGATTCTCAAGGATTGCTGAAGCAGACCTACCTCCCCTGCCTGAGATTCTGAGAGTTCCAGAATGAAGGGAATTTCAGTGTCAAAATTTGCAAAAAAGTTGGTCCACTGGTGCTCAAAAATCATTAAATCCTAGAAGGAAAATATCTGATATTATTTCCCAAGGCACGAGAAATGAAGGCAAAGGTAACATTTCACTGGAATAGAAAATCCCCAATGAAACAATAAGCTCAGGAAAATAAATATATATATTTTAGAAGATAAGGACATTCTGCTGGGTTTCAGGGTGTCTTTTTGTGGGTGTGCAGCTTTATGTTTACTTTTTTCAGAAAATTTAAGTCAATTTAACAACTTTCAGGTTGAAAACTTTAAATTATGATTAATAGGTCTGCTCAGAGTATAGGACAAGTCCCAAACATTAATCTCACTTCCACACAGAGAGGGGAAGTGAAATTCATAGAGTGATTACTTAGAGCCTTGTAAAAACTCAATATTTTAATATTTATTACAGCAGTTGATTGAACAACCAAATTGGTGTGAACCACCAATATTTTATTAATAAAGGGTAATTACTGCTGAATTTCATACATATTAAATTGCTGTCAAGGTAGAAACAGATTAAAAATTATATATACCAATAATTAAAAAATATATATATACTATTAATTATAAATACTAATAAATTATAAATTGTAATTATAAATAGTGATGTTTATACAATGCTTTCTCCTTTAGCACTGAGATCAGAGCAAGGAATTAATGTGAGAATCCCTTCCCACTGTTTTAATTTCCCAAAGCATCAGGGCAGCCACTGAGTGTCACTGTTCCCCATTTAAAGGAGCTACAAAACATCTGAAAAGTGCCTTTTTTTTTTTTTTTTTGCTCCTGGAAGAATGGTTGTGTGTTAAAGGGGATTTTTTTTAACCCTCCTTGCTGCAAAAGGAGGATTAACACACAAAACCACAGCAACTTCATTTATTTTGTACATGGTTTAATGACGTGAAGGAAAATTTTCAAGAGATTTTCAGACAAAACAATAAATTCAAGGAAATCAAGACAAGTTACTTTAGTGTTTTACAGAGTTTGGGGCAGATTTAAGGAATGGGAGGAGACCCTGCAAGCAACAGCAGGCAGAGCCCATAAACTTAATTAAAACCAAACAAAATCCCAACCCTTTTACTCTGTGGTTACACCAAGCAGGAGCTGAGGCAGAACATTTCACCTGCTTTACCTCAAAGAGCAAATCCTCCAAGGACACAGGATCCATTTTGCTGTAGGTCTTCCACAAGTCAGCACTGACATCCATTAACTGAAAAGAGATTTTAAGCACATTTCTGTAAAAAACACCACGAAAAAGATTCAAGTTTAAGCTGAGACAGCACTGGGGAACACTGCCCTTAACTCTGATTTCACAAATATTTTTTACTCTGTTACAAAAGACCCGACCAGTGAGGGCCTGAACTCTGTGCAAAGATCTCTTTGCATCCTCCAAAAAATAATTTCACAACATTTTTTCAATTTAATAGCAAAGAACTGCATACAAAAGGGCAAGATGAGTTTTCTGAGTTAGGACAGCCAAGAGCCAATTCCAGGGTTACTCAGCCAATACTTGCTCCAAGCTGATGTAAATTTAGGCTAAAACAGTTTAATTTTGCAATACTTTCTCTTCCAAGTAGCATGATGATGCATATGAGAAGAATATTTTTAAAATATATTCTTAAGGGATACTTCTAGCTGAACAATTCTGCATTTACAGGGTTCCTCATCACCCACTTAGTTAAAAATGCAACACTGGCTGGAATTTTCTTAGCCCACTGCTTTACAGTTATTCCAGGTATTCATGTAATTAGGTATGTTAATAACGATTTCCCAGACCTCCCTTTCATTCCATTCCTATAAATACAGTAAATTTTCTAAATTACAGCATCATGAGCAACTCTGATTTCTGCAGTAAAAGAGTACTGCCTTTAAAAGACTGGGAAAAATCCTGAATTATCACTTTTCGATTATATTCAAATCTAAGAGAACACACAGGAGAGGGAAAACCTCAGAGGGGAAAATCCAAGCTAAAAATGCACCAAAAAACTCCCCTTTTAATAATGGCAGGAGAATTAATTTATAAATCATTTACAGTGATCCCAAATGCACCTCCAGCCTGGTTTCCTCCCCCACCAGTGACACAGAGCAGCTGCCTGACACAAAACCACACAAACACACAGAAAGTGAAGAATGTCACTTCCCATTGGAAATCCCCTCATGATTTCAAGGAGGAAGCAAAAGCTCCTGCACTGCCAGAGCCAACATGATTGCTCTTAAAAAAGGAGACAAAGAATTTTCCCTTTTGAAGCATCCAGGGGTGCTCAGAGACAACTCCCTGGATCACACAGAACAGGTTCTGTCTGTGCCACCGGGTCTGAACGTTTTTTTCAGAGCCCCTACAGATTTGTGAAATGAACTGGGGTAATTAAAGGGCAATTAAAGACTCAAACAGCTCCTGAATTGAGAGTCAGATTTTCATTGACTCATTTCAGACATCAAGAAAGGTGATTAATTGCCTTCTCCAAAGCTGCTCATCTGTTTGCACTCTGTGTTTAATGGCTTGGGCAGGTTCACACCACAAGGTTTTACAGTAGCAGTGATGGAATAAAAAAATCCCTGAAGAAAGGAACCAGTGGAAAGAGAAGAGGGTTCAGAAAGGAACTCACAGAGCATATTTCTGAGCAAGCAAGTACAATTCTAGATATGATGAGACTCTAACAATGGCACTATTAATTCTCTGGAATTTTTCCAGCTATCAGGAGTCAGACAAAAGCCCATTGTGGCTGTAAAAATGGAGGAGTGATAAGAAAAAATGGGACATCTGCATTGCTGTGGCAGAGATTCAAAAAATAAAATAAAATAAGCTTTAAACAAGCACAGAAATGCAAAGCTGTCATCTGAAAATGCTGTTCAGAGCATAATTAATAAATGGGCAAATCAATGACATAAGTTGCTCAGAGTGGAACAGCAAATCATTATTAAATATAGAGCAATTAACTCCTGACTGCTGCCCTATTCAGCAGGATATGATGACCCATGAATATACAATGTCAGTGAGAGAAGATGAATCTCTTCAGTCAAAACCTGAGAAATAGTCTTTTCTTATTTTCTGAGCTCATCTCAAGATGTTTTGTCACTAACTAGCTCCTCCTGCTCTGCTTTTGAAAATCTAGAACCCATCTAAAAAATCTGGGGTAAAAAAAAAAAATCCATCTAGGGATAAAAAAAATTGGTTATTGGTACAAGTGGCTCTAGAAGGAAAGGAAAGAAGTTCTAAATCACAGCAGAGGCTTGGGGAGAATGTCCAAATAATGGTTTAATCAGGAAAAAGTGCTGTGTAACCCAGAAAAGAATCTCAGCAACACCACAGGGTCACCACCCTGCCACAATTTTACAAGATCCCGAAAAACTACTAATTCAGCAGCTCACTTTAGCAGTGAATCACGACTAGATTATCTCAAAAAAGTGCTTTCCAAACCAAACCAAACAAACGTCGTGAGTAACTTGTGCTTGGGGAAGGAAACGACAGGAAGGGAAGCGCTCACTTCGTATTTCATGGTGAAGAAGCCGTCGCCGCCGATCCCCTCGAGCGCGAATGCCTGGACGATCGGCCACTTCTCCACGATGAACATGTCAAATATCTGCAGGTGACCTGCAAAGCAAGCACAGCAACTTCCCCTCACATATCCTGGCATTTTCTCCTCCCTCGGTTCTTGGGATTCACACAGGGTTTGAGTTATCCTCATCTTTGTACAGCTGGGAGTCTTGAAGTGATTTGGGGGTTTTTTTGTGCGATTTTAGAAGCTCCTCTACGCCCTGAATTTTGTGGCTTTTTTTTTTCTCAGGGTATTCCACATCTCCTTGCAAACTTCATTAGAAGTTAACAATTAAAACTCAAGATAATAAACAGGAAGCTTTGCTTACTCCAGTTGCTCAAATACTTTGCCTTGAACATGTCAACATCAGAAAATTCCAGAATGGTTTGGATGGGAAAGGACCTAAAAGTTCATCCCATTCCACCCCTGCCATGGGCAGGGACACCTCCCACTATCCCAGGGTGCTCCAAGCCCTGTCCAGCCTGGCCTTGGACACTTCCAGGGATCCAGGGGCAGCCACAGCAAATCTGGGCACCCTGTGCCAGGGCCTCACCACCCTCACAGGGATTAATTTCTTCTATCATCCCCATTTAATCAAAATTTTAAGTTAGGGGAGATGAAAACTCTTCCTCCTGGCACTTCCATTAATGACTTTTCAGGCAGTCAGAGCACATCACCCTTCCCTAAGGGAAGCAATAAAGCATTAGGAATAAAAAAAGAATGCAAGATTACATTGCTGAGACTCAAGGCTGGCTCCAGATCCCAACAGGAAGCCATGCAGGGCAGGTTTTTTTTTCACTTCTAAAAAAGGAAACTTGCATAAAGAAATGTTTATCCTTCCCTTTCATAAAGAAGGATTTATCTGGAGCTCCCATGGGAACAGAGAACTTCTGTAGCAGCTCAAGATACTGCTCTGAATGCAAATCATTCCTCTGTCTCACACTGGGGATATTCACTTCCCAAATGAACTCTGAGGGCTTCCAGCTCTCAGCAAGAAATTCAACTCTTAAGAAAAAAGAGGCTAAAAAGAAACTAATGACCTACTAATCCTTATTTCTCTCCTAAGGCAAGGAAAACTTCATTCTCTGAAGATTGCAGGGTGCAAAACATTTCCACTGTGAGCACAGCCCACCCTACCTTGGCAGCTGTAGGGGATCCCGATGCGGCTGCAATCCCGGACCATGTCCACAAAGCTGGAAATCTTAAATTCCTCTGCAGCTTCTTCATCTTCATACTGAAAGAAGGCATTTCAAATCAAACTGGATTAAGCATGCCCTAATTTGATTGGTAGGAAAGGAAAGATGAAGTATTTGAAGCATTAAAATATCACCTACAGTCTCTAGAAGTTCAAGCGTATCTTTTTGTATTTTGGAAATCCCATCATGGCAGGGATGTACTCAAGCCAATGGAAATTGAAAAAAAAAAAATCAAACTTCAAAGCAAGGTTTTTAATCATCACATATGAAGGCATAATTACAGACTTTATTTCCAACTTCCAATGAAGTCTTTCAACATCTGGATTTGAAAGATAAAAGCCATTTTGAGGATACCAACTGATGTGCCACAAAACACGTGCCACTGAAGGAAAAAAAATCAAAATAAGGTTCTGTATTACCAGCTAAACAACACTGAGCAAGGAAAATCAATGACAGAATTAGCCCCAGGCCACAGATTAGGCAATGAGAACCAGTTTTGATCTGAGGGAGAGGTGAACTGCAGGAAAAGGAGGAGGCAACAAGAGGAGAAACCTTCATGCAACACTGCCTGAACCAAAGACTTCAGCAGACTGAAGAGCAAATATCCTAACTCAGAAAAGCACAAAAACCAGACTGAAGACACAAATCACACTAAAGTCATTTTTATAACAGAGCACAAACCTGAGAACACATTGACTTTGACCTGAAAAGCAGTTTAGCAACAAATCTGGAACCAACAGGTTTAGCCCTGCTGGCTTCTTCAAGAGCCACTTGTTTTCTGGAGCAAGATCAGAAGGCAGAGGTGTTTTGCCTATATTATTTCATTTTTATGTGCACTGCTCTGAGCTTCTTATCAAGGCAAATGACATGATTATGAACTTTTTGAGAGCTTCAGGGTACACCCAACACTTTTATTTTGAGAACAAGTTCTTTTAAGCCAAGCCTGAATTTAAGATGCAGCCCCAGCTCCTCCGTGGTGTGTTCCCTCCTCAATCCCAGGAAACCAAATCAAAGTTGCAGTTCAAAGCCAAGCCCCAAACAATTGCCAGTTTCTCAAGACTTAGAAATGTCATTGGAATAAGAACTTGGATTTTGGCAGGGTGCTAAAGGCTTGTTCACAATCTGCTGTTGCAGGGAAAAACACAGTCAGTTCAACCCAAAAATTTCCTGCAGCAAATTTCCATATTTTACTCTATTTAGCCACTTTGACCATGGGCATTTTTTTAGTAATATGGGATTTTTCTCCCCAATAACTAGGACATTCTCTTAAATTCTTGTGGTCTAGTTAAAACAAGTAGAAAGGGAAAAAAGGAAGGAGAAGCTCTGTGTTTTGCCAGAGCCAGGTACAGCACTGCTTTATTTATTTCTAAAATTCTTGCACTTTTTTTGGTTTCATTTTTATGAAGTTATTTCTATCACTAAAGTAAGTACTTAAAAGCCACTGCAGGCAATTCTCCTGTAAACAGGATGCACACAGCAAGGTTTTGTTTGTCTGTCAGCAGCAATCTAGGAAACTTGCAATTCTTATACATTGGGAACGTGACTGGAAGTGCTCAGCTCACTCACACTGAACAGCAATGAAACAGAGCTGTATTTTCAGCTTCCCAAATCAAACCTTTCCCATCATTTCCATGAAAAAAAAAGGTTTACCTTGCCAGTTACATCATTATTTCAAGGCAACACTGTGTGATTAAGGTTCCTGCTTACCACAATAAATCATATCAAAGCCCATAAGCAGATGAAGCTTAAAATTCAATAGCTGAGATTGCAGTTGCACTGGCAACTGTGTGCTAAGAACTTCTCTGCTCCTGATTCCAAAGTGCACGTGCTCTCCCAGCATCAGATTTGCCCTTCAGCAGGGATTTTGGCAGCAGAAAAGCTTTGTGAAGCCAGGCTTTAGGTTTTGCTGTGGCATGTTTTAACCTGGAGCTCAGCTGTTTTTATCCTAACAAGAATTATCCCTCTCTGCTCCACTCCTGGGATTGTATCCACAACGAGTTTTGGGATTCATGGACAAGGTATTTATAAACTGGAGCAAGATCAGTGGAGGGCCACCACAATGAGTGGGATGCAGCACTTGCTCCAGAAGGAGAGATCCAGCTTTGCTCAATATCTGCACCTCAAACCAAACAAAACATTACTGAGATGGTGAACTCAGGTTCTCCAAAGTGGTCATGACACAAGTCATGATTTAAAACAAGACAGGTTTGGGTTTGACAAAAGGAAACACTTCTTCACACTTTTTTTTTTTTTTTTTTTATGAGGACAGAGGGGAAATGGAGCAGACACCAGCAGAGGTGCTGCAGTCATCACCCTTGGATGCTTTCAACACCCAGCTGCAAAAAGCCCTTGAGTGACCTGATCTGATCTCACCACTGAAGCAGGACGTTGGACAATATGATCTCCAGAGGTCCCCTGTAATCTGAATTATTTCCTAATTCTGTAATCTAAGCTATCAACCAGACACATAAAAACACAACCAGTCTATTATAAACTCCATCTCTTCCAAGCTGGAAACTCAAGGGAACAAAAGGTTTTTCTCACTGACTTTCCCATTCATTTTTCCACTGGCTTCACTCACCATCACAGGCTCCAAACCCACTCCCTGCAGAATTCAGTATCATTCTAACTTAGAACTACACAGAACTCAATGTAGGAAGAAGCATTTCCAGGCTCCACTGAGATGAAAAGGTCCTTATTCTACACCCAGACAAAGAATATTTTCATTTTTTACTCCTCTAAAAATACTTCACAACAATAAATGGCCTTTTTCTATAACACTTTGACTTTTAAGTTCAAGATGAAACTCACATCAGTCATGGGATGTAGAGGAAGTTACATTAATAGCTCTTGACAGCAAGATTTAATAGCCAAAATGAAAATACACAATGAAGTTTCTTGATTTTAAAGGACTTACCAAGCCCATATTTTTCTAATATTCTAAAACTACTGGCAAGCAATACCAACACTGTTTTGGCAGCAAACAAGACTGATGTGGGAAATCTCAGCATTGACTGTGATACTTGATTCCCATTTTGCATTTTTCACAACCCACATCTTTTTCCTCATTAAAAGATCACTGACTCGGGTCAAAACAAGAGCAATTAGTGGGACAGAGGAGCAACTTGTCTTCACACTCCAACAAATAAAAGTATTGACAATATATTCTTCTTGCACACTTCAGCAAATGATATATCTGATACTCAGATATATACACATATCACTCCCCTGCTGAGGAGGAAAGAGAAAAAAAAGCTTCTGGAAAAAATGTTTTTAGAAGTTTCACTTGAAGGATTAGTTCATTAACACGTTTATTAACGAATCTTGTCTGCATTCATTTTTCACTTACCTCATTTTCAGTCAGGCAGTGGAAATGCAAGTTCCTCCAGTGTGCCACATAGGGCAAAAGATGATTGTAATTCACAGGGTTGCAGTACAGATGAACACTGTCAGGTTTTATTAATATGATTATATCTGCAACAAGCAAAACAAACATTCCACCATCAGGACTCCACACACGAGAGAAACTGAACAGAAAACTTTTTTGTTGTTGTTGTTTTTTTAATCAAGCACCTCATTAAAAAAGAAAATTGTTCAGCTATGTGAATGCAGTGCAATTCCTGATTTCTTTTCAACAAGCAGAAGAAATAGTTGGCAGCCACAGAGAGCTCCAAGTACAAGAGCACTTGTAACTGTTCCAGACAACTGGGGGGTCATTCCCAAGTCTTGCACAGAACTTGCATCAGCCTGTCCTTTGTGCAGCCAAGAGGGGCAGGATGAGTTTTCCCAGAGCACTTTTGGAGAACTCTCAACTCCAGCTGCTCTTGCCTGACATTACATCAGAGCTGCTTCAACTAAAAACTCCCAACACCACAGCCTGTGGGGGAGATATCCCAAAGTTCCAGGCAAATAAGAGAATAATAAGTAAACTGTGATCACAGGGTCTGTCTACATTCCAAGCATGACAGAGGTGAGTTAATGTGGTGAAGTAAAAAAGAGCTCAAGTCCTTTAGAAGTGCAGAGGTGTGATCACACAATGATTAATCTCATGTACACACATACATTGAACTCATGGACTGTAATTGTCTAAGCTGACAACATTGGAGATAAACTGTGGAACATCAAACATATGAAATACATCTTTTTGTATTTAAAAATTAGTTCTTTAGCAGTGTTTCTAACAAGATATTTTCAGGCATATACAGACAACTTGAGACTTAATGATCTTTACTTTTTCTTTTCCATGTCATTTTATCTGCTCATCTTCTGTCCAGAACAGGTAAAAATGTTGAGAACATTACTCACCATCCAGAACTTCCTCAGGAAAGCCAGTCCTTTCAAAGTCGTTGTTGTTCTGGTTGTACAAACCAAAGAGCAGATAATTTGCCAGCTCCCTGCACCCTTCATTGTATCGACTGTCTATCCCTGCAAAAGCAAAACCACAAGAGAATTGTTGTGTGTCCTAACACTGCACACCTGAAAAGTTTGTTTTCTTCCCCAGTTTATTCAGCTTTAAAGCAGGAGTATGAACTCAGCTCCTCAACTGAATACACTGAGAGAACAGTAGGGAAAAAGGAGTTTTTGCAAGAGCTCTGCCACGTGCTGACATCCCCCTTTCAACCTGAATCCACAAATATTTCTTTTAAATGTCTTGTTTTCTGCAGTGCTCTGCATCCGGAATTCCATTTTTTCTAGTAATTTTGTAGTAATTCAAACATCTGTCTGGATGCAAGATGCATTTTAATTAATATGTTCTTGATTGAAGCTTCCTAACAAACTAATCCTGTGACCCAAATCTCCTGCTTTAGAATACATGATTAAACATTATCTTATCAGTGTTATAGCTCCAGCAATCCCTGAGTCACCAGAGAGCCACTGCAGACTTCTGACAAATCGTGAAAAGATGTTCTGACAAAACATGTGGGGCACAAAGAGCTTCCAAGGAAACTTTTCCTGGTCCTTGGGAAATTTAAATGAAAACAAATGAAGATCTGGAGCATGAAGAAACAGTTTCTAAATATGTGGCTTCATTACTTTCTATTTGTATTTATCTTCTATCTTCACCTCTCTGGATGACAGTCACAATCATAATTCTACTGTAATAAATCCAGTTTTCTCAAACAAGTACAACTGTACATAAAGCAGCATCTCTGCCATCCACATTTCACAGAAGTCACCAGTCTTGACTGCCAAAAAATTCCTCTAATGGCAAATTTTCCTATCAAGTTATATTAAGATTCAGTGGAATGGCTGCCAACAAAGTAGGATTTGTTAAATTAGGATACAGTGGAATGGCTGCCAACAAATTAGGGTTTGTTACCACTGCTAAAGGAGAGATCAGGACATTGATAATGTAACAACATGGCCTGAACATCTGAGTCTCAGGACATGAATTGGAAACCAAACCAGTCAGGAGTCACCTGAACTTGGCAAAAATTGGAACAAACCTCAGGTTCTCCAATTTATGCTCCTTTTCATGTTCTGCTTCAGCTTTAAAGTGCTACCCAGATGATGTGTCTGCATCCAGCTACTGAATCCCACATCTTAATAAACTCTTTGTTTGCTCAGTAACTTTGGGCAGCTCACAAAGGTATCTGATATTTGGTGGAAAGCTGCCTTACATCTGTCCCAGCTTTCTCAGCCCTCAATTTTTTTTTCCTGCAATAATATTTGAATCCTCATTCTCCTGCTGTTTCTGAGCTCTCATTCATACATATCCCTCTATTTTATTTACATTTTCAGCCCCATGAAAGCAGGCACACCAATGTAATCTGGAATTCAATGGCACTCAACACACAAATATTGCTGCCAAAGCCTTGTGTCTAGGTGGGATTTCAGTTACAAATGGAAACTCCCTTCTCTCAGGAAGAAACTGTCCCATTGTTTTAGGGAACTGCATTTAAATGTAATCAGTCTCCCTGGAATCAGCTGCAGCCTTGGAAAGTGAGCACACACATGTCCTGAAGATAATCTGTTTCACTGATTACCTGCCTAACTAAAGCACCTTCTGAAGGCTCAGAGGAGCAATAATCTGGCACAGACAGCTTGAGAGAGATGGAGGTGCTCAGCCTGGGGAAGACAAGGCTCCAGAAAGATCTCAGAGCTCCTTCCAGTGCCTAATGGGGCTCCAGGAAAGTTGGAGAGGGATTTGGGACAAGGGATGGAGGGACAGGACACAGGGAATGACTTCCCAGTACCAGAGAGCAGGGTTAGATGGGATACTGGGAACGAATTCTTCCCTGTGAGGGTGGTGAGGCCCTGGCACAGGGTGCCCAGATTTGCTGTGGCTGCCCCTGGATCCCTGGAAGTGTCCAAGGCCAGGCTGGATGGGGCTTGGAGCAACCTGGGATAGTGGAAGGTGTCCATGCCCATGGCATGGAGTTGGAACTACATCTTCTTTAGAGTCTCTTCCAATCTAACACATTCTATGATCCTATGATTCTAATTTCTGGAAGATCAGAAGAAAAATGAGGAAGTGCCCTCATTTGAAAAAAAAAAAAAAAGAAAAAAGAAAAAAAAATTATGATATCACCACCACTTGAAAAGTTTGAGATTTTATCTGGGTACAGCAGCTTCGAGCAGGGAAGATCTCCCAAGCCAAACTCCAAATCTCTGCTTTTTCAGTAAATGACAGGAGGGGAAGAGACAAATGTAACTCTTATAATAGAGAGTTAATTTATAATAGAGGGTGGATTGATTGCTTGCAAAGCACAGATAGACACGCAGGGAAGGCATTTGTTTAACATAAAACCATGAATTCTGCAGAATATTTGGGATTTGTGGTTTGCTTGGGTCTTTCAAGTATCCTGTCCAGACAGGAGCTTTCACAGTGAGGCTTCAGTGCTATTCTACAGCAACATATGGAGTTAAAGGAACAGATATAGTTAGCAGAAAACAAACAGGAAATGAAACAATGACCAAGATAAGATACCCCCGAGAGCATATCAGGAGTCCTCCCCAGAACAATGGGCAAAGCCATTAATTAGGAAACCCCGACGCCTGCCTCCAGCTGAGCTGGGAATTTGGGAACTTCCCCCGGCCTGTTCCCAGCTCATCATCGGGGTGTGGGCACACAGTGAGTCAGGCTGAGCCCCAGGAGCTGCTCCTGCTCCCCTTTCAGTTTGCTCAGAAAACATTCTGGCCAAATCCGGGGGGGGAAATCTGTCTGCTCGCTAAGATAAAGTGAGTGCAAGATACTGAACAGAACCAGCAGTGATGCAAAATGCACGTGGGGATAGCAGGGAGAGGCTGGAGGGAATGGACACATCACCTTAAAATATTGGCCCAAAAGCAACACACAATTCTGGAATTGCTGGCAGAATAATCCTTAAAATAATCTCTGTTTGGAAAGGGAATGGGATGAACAATCAGTGCAATGTACCAAATGTTCTCAGAATGTGGGAGAAACCCCAGCTGGGAGAGCTCTGTGTGGGATGCATATAATGGAGAAAAAAATAATCTAAAAAAGCAGCAATGTGTGTGAACAGAACCAAGGTACAATAAAAATTTCTTGGAACAGCCTTGAATGGGTCCCCACACTCTTCGAGGAGAATAAAAAATAAATACGAATATTTGCAGAAGTTCAGCTCAGCTGTGCTCAATGGTCAAACAGTTTAATCCACAACCAGAGCAGCTACAACTCCAGTTACAGACACACCCCACTGCCACTGAATGCACATCCTCAGAAATCAGAGCAACTGAAGCACGAGCTGAAAATCTCTGCTGAAAGGTAAGATGCCAAGAAACACCACTATCATTAAAAAAAAAAAAAAAAAGTTTACAATATGATTTAAGTAGACCAGTTTGAAGAGCAACACACTCAGCTGAGACACACTTGACATGCCAACCTCCAAATTCCTTTTTCCTGTCAGTTGTGAGGCCTTTTCTCCCCAGCAAGGAATGCAGGAATGTTACCCTGCAACCACTTCAACATCAGATTAGAGGATTCTTTTTAAAAAAATCAGCTGTAACTACATTTAAATATTTGTATCAACAGCGGGTCCGTTCTCATCTCTCCCTGGGATCTCACAATGCTGAGTTTAATTTCAGTACAAATATTAATGAACTTGAAGGAAAGCTGTGGAAGTTTATGCTGGTTTTATCTCACAGCCCAGTATGAAACTAAAGTTGAGGTGAGGGAACTGCATTAACTCCAGGCCATTAAAAGCAGCCAAGTGAAACAGAGCATGCACTGACTGTAAAAAAAACCATATTTGTGAGTATCCACTTCCCACACAAGTCAAGAGGACTCGGGATATAAAACTACACGGGTTTTGTCATCTGAAGCTTGTATTTGATGACAGATTTAATACATTTATAACAGTGACATGCCTGTTTCATAGAAGTTATGCCAGAAATTCTGCAGGAGCCAGGGCAGAGCACACAAGAGCCCCATTGTGGGTGCTGAGAGATCAGGGCAAAGCATAATCTCCCAACAAAACACACCTCCTGTATTTTCATACCACAAGTGCTTATTTATTAAAAGGTATGTTCTTATGACAAGAATTAAATCCTCTACACAACACTGAGAATTACACAAAGCAATTCCTTTGCTTTCCTTAAAGCTGGGCCATGTTTTCAGTGAGTGTTCTTCACCTGGGGACTTCCTGCAGTCTCAGAGTTAACAATAATTAAGAAATAGTGCAGTGTCATCAGTTAAGATGGTTTTATGAAATGAAATTAGCAGCAAAGACAAAACCCAAGGAGTTTATCCTGCATGATTAAGTTTCACTGGAAGGCTGACACAGTGACCTCACAGAGCTTCTGGCTGTACAGTCACTGCTTAGCCAAGACTTAACCTCTTACCCCAGAAACTGCAGGGTAGGAAGGGTCATGTTATACAGCTAACACTGACTAAGACAGAATGAGGTTATATATATTTATAAATTTACATATGTATTATATTTATATCTATTTTTATATGTAAATATATATTTTATATATAAATATATATAGTACATATTCATATATGTTATTTTGTGGTCCAGTAAATGAGCTTTAAGTTCTCTTGCTACATCATTTAAAAAATAGAATAAAACCCTTAAAAAGCAGATTGTGGTACCACTTCCTACACAGAGCTTCTTTAGGGCTACATCAGACTTCTCTTTAAGTGCAATGTATTATTTAAACAATTACTCCTCAGTCCTTTTCTCCAAGGACTCAAGTTTTCAATAGTAATGTCAGCATTTTTCCTTTAATATCCTGACACTGATTATATAATATGAAACAAGTGCCAATGAAATGGTATTAAAGCAGCACAAAACCCCTGTTATTTTCCCACAGCACTCTTGCACATGCACTTTTATTTCCTGCTGCCCTTTTCTCCCAATCCCAGAAGAAATAAAGCACTGAAACCTCGTGCTGTTTATGTGCCAACATTTAACTCTTAACTGCTTCCCAGATTTCTCAGGCCCCTCTTTAAAATTCTTTATCCTATATTTGTAAATAAGTTGAAGAATTTTTTTTTTTTTTGGGGAGAAGCGAGTGCAACAATCTTGTTGATTCCCTGAGAAACCAGGCTGGGGCTTGGAGCAGGAAGATTGTTTTCTTCTTTCTCAAACTCGTGGTATCTTTTTCAATATAATGAGAACAAAAAAATGTAACACTGACCTAAAATGCAGAGGATTCCATCAGGCTGAGATTTGCTGCTCTGGGTCAGGATGCTCTGAATGTTTCGGAGGCGACTGCAGCTGCAAAAGAAAAGAGAATTTGTCCCCAAGGTCATTGTTGTGAAATGTCAAACTGAGAGGATGAAGAGCTCACCCAGCTTTGTTTTCTTTATTACAGAAATTAAATGGGCACACTTCAATTTGGAGATTTTTTTTTATTTTTTTTGAGACATGGACCTTAAATCAAACCATTCCTGATTATTTTTGCCCACTAAAAGATGAAGTCCACAGCAATGAGAGAAGAAAGGAAATTTTAACTGTTCCCAAGAGCTCTGTTCATCTGCAACCTGGCAAAATTTGCTCCTCAGGTTTGCTCTCACCAGGCCAGCAGAAATTCCCTTTTCCAGCAGAGAAGAAAAAAGCAAAATAACCTCAGAAGGGACCACAGGAGCACCTACATCCCAACAGGAGTTTGGGAAAGAGTTTTGGCACCTCTAGCACCATCAGGAAAATCATTAGGTTGGAAATCAAGTTGGAAAAGACCTCCAAGATCATCAATTCAAACATTAAAGAGAAATCAAAACAATGCCAAATCTTGCTGCGAATTTTTACCATAAAAATGAATAATTTATTCTATACATTTTAATTCAGCTGTCCAATATTTATCTTTAAACCAGGCAAAAATCCCATCTTCAACAGCCAGATTTTTTTATAATCGAAGTGAATAGTTTATCCTATAAATTTTAATTTAGTTGCCCAATGTGTATCTTTCAGCTACAACAGGCACACAGAGAGCAACACAATTTGTGCTTCCAGGCAACATTCTGTGAGTTTGTTTAAATACAGATAAAAGACATGAAATTTCACTGTTGATATTACTGAATGGGATTTCTTGTCTATAGACTTGTTTATATAACTATGAGCTGTTCAGCTCCAGGAAACAAATGTCTCTCACAGAAACACTCAAACAAAACTGAATTTATGAGCAGTTCAAACAATAAACTAAGGTCAAATATTTCTATTTTCGGCATTACTTTAGCCAAGTAAAAAAGCAAATAGGTCTTTTCAATAATATTACAATTATTGTGCTCTACTTTCTCTGAAAGAAAGGATGAACATGAAAGGTTTCCATTATGAAGAATCTAAGTGAAATTCCAATATCAGTGATAAAGGACAGACAACACTTCATTAGGAGCCACTTTCATGGGAAGCACAAAGTCACTGCAGTGCCAGCATTAATTTTCCCCCTTTTTAGGTCACATGGTTGAATTCTGAATCCCTCAGTTATTCTTTCTACCTGGAACATTTCAATTCATATTCCATAGATGGATGGATGGATATTTTGATCCAATCTTAGATATGGAAACAGAAATTCCAGCCACTGATGACAGCAAAGACTTCATCAGGTACTATGAGATTTTTGCCCACATGGGTGATGCCAGGAAATCCATGAAAACCACAGTGAACTTTCTGCTGCACATTTAAGCAATTACTAATTATTCATTCTTTCAAACCTTACTTAAATCTGAATCTCACAGCTATACAAAATACAAAATGAAGGTTTTGTATCTTATTGTGGAAAATTTTCATCCCATCATTTAACAGGAACCCAAACCAGCTGGGTGACAGATGATTCAGAGCTCAGATTTTTATACTTCCCATATCACGAGATAGAGAGCAGAAAAAAAAAAATAAATCCCCAAACTCTTCACTGTGGGCACAAACTGGACTTATTTCATTTGTTGGTATGGAAACAGCAACACAAGTTGCACAAGCCCAAAATTATATGAGGAGCTGCAGGATTGCTGGAGCCTCTGTGAAAAAAAAAACCCAAGAACGTGAAAGCAACTCTTTGTACAAAGCTGTCCAAAAGTGAAATCCTTCTCAAAATGCTTCTTGACCTTCCTGCAAAGGAATTGTTTCCATGATTTCTGAGAGGATCTGAAGGACAAATTGGAAAGACTGAGAGAAAAAAAAAAAAAAAGTCCAAGGACTTCTGCATTGACAGATTAACATTTAATCAAACATTTTCTGTATCAGAGGATGCACGGCCCTGCTCAAAGTGAGGAAAGAAACAGTCAACAGAAAAAAATAAATGCTGAGGGCACAAGGAGATTTTCCTTCAGCACCGCAGAAAAAAGGTGCAATAATTCCTCTGCTACTCGTGGTCAACTCTGAAGGCAAATTTAAGAGGTTTTAACCAGGTTTTTAAGGAGTGAGTAACATTTTTTAAACCTCTTGTGCATTATAAACACAGCAGGAATACACACCTTGATTTTACAATCATTTTTTCCCTTCCTGTACTGATCACTTATAGAAAAATGATTAGAACTCAATTTGACAAAGAACAAGTATGGAAACTCATGGGGAAAGGTTTTTTTCCATTTATTAAAAAACATTACCATATGAAACAAGGTAAGCTATTCCTAAGATCTTTAAATTTTCATTTCAAAGGCTTCCACAAAAGAGTGACCCAATAAAACACATTTATCATTTAAAAGAAGTAGTGGTATAAGCCTGTGCAAGAAGACCAGAGCAGAGAAAAGCAAAATAAATGGGGTTTTTGTCTTCTTGAGTTCTGGGAAAGTATTTTCTGCTCAGTTCAAGTGCTGGGTAGAAAAGGAGAAGAAGAATTGGGAGAGGAGAGTCTTCACAGGTTGGGTGGACTTTTCTTCTTTAAATATTCAGGTTAGGAATTTTACTCTCCTATAATTACTTCCATTATATTTCAAATAAATTATAACTTTGGTGCATCCCTTAAAAATATCTAAAGATCTCAGATTAAGCTGCTACAACATTTCTGCCAGGTAAATCTGGATGTCAGTGCTGTGTGTCCTGACATAAAACATGAAAGCACAGAGCAAATTAAACGTTCATCATTTCACAATAAGATGTTATGTCAAATAAAGATATTTATTTCATTCTTAATATTAAACAGACCTTTAGCAGAATATTTTTCTTTGCCTTATTTAAGAAGTGGTTTCTATGAGAGAATTCTTTGAAAAAGCTCCTTCACAGAAAAATTTTCAACGTCATTTCAAGTGTGGATAAATCATTACATTCAAAGGCTGACACTAAACACAGAAGAGTTGTGTGCCTGAAGAAAGATGCCATTCAGAAATAGGGAAGAGAATAATTAGAATTCTTACAACATGCTTTTAAACAATACAGTCTAAACTGGGTATAAAGTCAGAGAGGGGGGGAAAAAAGGCATTTTCTTGGATTTCTCATTAAAACAGTCATCTGACAAAAACAAAGAGATTGTCCTGGGAACAAAAATCCATGACTTTTCCCATCTCCAAAACAAGCACTGACTTTTTTACTCTTTTTCATTTTAATCCAGCAGCACAAACTCAAACAGAAACAACAAATCCACACAAACCTGTGGGCCTTGAGATGCTTCCCTGGAAATTGTGGCTCTGCATCCACCACCTACACAACCACAGCTAAACCTACAGTAACCTGCTGCTGGAAAAATAAAAAAAAAAAAATGAGGTGTGTTTAGAAACACACTAAGCTAAGGAAGCTCCAAAATGCTGGATTTCAACGAGATTGGGGCAAGACAAGAACTGGAAGCTCTACCTAGGAGACAACTTTTAAAATGGGTAAAAAGTTGAAATAGGTGAAGGAGGAATTTTGGCACCACTTTGGAGCAGAAGCTGGGATTTGTCTGTCGGTTTAAGGCAGGATAAAATCTCCTGGTGCTGTAAGGAAAAGTCTCTCTCTTCTCCCTGCCTTTCTGTGTGCACTAACGATCTTGAAGCCATGTGTCAGGTCGGATCAGCTTATGGATCCAAACAACCTCCAGCCCAGGAATTAAAAAGAAAACAACGCTTTCAAAGCGGCAGCAAGCTGACCTGACTGCTGATGAAGGCAGGTCAAAAGGCAAAGCCACGTTTTGGGGTGACATCTGGCAATAAAGCGTGCTTGGGCCAATTAAAGAACTATACCTTGAAGTACTTGATATTCCACTAAGCTTGGATTAGATCCAGCAAAGAAAAAAAAAAAAAAAAAAGTGTGGGGGGGGAAGATAATTGACAATCATTAACTTCTAAGAATTAGTGCTCATCTGTTCACGTCTTCACACTAATTATGCAAAGTACCTCGCTTTACAACAGCCAGCCTGTCACAGCCTGGTAACAGACACGGCGCTGCAAGGCACGTCTGTTGGCAAATAAAGAGAATATTAACAACTGTGCCTTTCTCAATCACAAAGAACAAATCCATCTCCTCGAGAAAGCCACGCGGTGCTTGAATTTCTATTCGAGCTCCTTTCTTTTCGCCAACAATTGCGGCGCTTTTTTCGTCGTTGTTGCCGGCTGGATTTAACCTGAGTGCAATTAACGTGGTAATCCAGAACGGAGGCAGCGCCGATTCCAGCATCGATTCCCCACGCTGGATTCCCGATTCCCGATGGATTCCCAGAGCCTGGCAGCTGTGCCCGACACCCGGTTCAGCTGACAAAGGCTTGGGATTTTGCTGCTTCCCGTGTGTTTCGCCTCATCTTGGCAGCTGTTTCGCTCCTCCCCCACAAAGGGCTTTGGCAGCCCTAAAAAAAAAAACCCGCACGAGGCCGGGCTTGGATGGATGGATGGATGGATGGAAGGGAACGAGGGGGGAAAAAAAAAAATCAGAGATATCCCTGAAAAAAACAGCGAGAATCCTCACAGCAGCAGGGAATAACTTGAATAGATTCCTGCTGCCTACCGCAGTCAATGGGTTTACCAAAAACTGCCCGATTTACCTTAAATAAATAAATTAAATAGAATGATAAATCACAGGGTTGTTTTTTTTTCACCAAGCCTCACTTCTTAACTCGCTGTTGTGAACAGCTGGTTCCACTTTAGTCCCCGAAAAATCAAGTTTGTATTTCTTGGGTCTTTTTGTTGACCTCACGATTTCTGTCAGAAACATTTTCTGCTTGTGTTAAGAGTCCAGGATTTTCCTGGATTTCTGACATTTATCCCCACCTTAGCATAGCTGTGAAAACAGACACCAAAAGTCAGACTGAGCTAAAGATTCTCAGAATTTCATTGATTTCAAAATAACTCTTTCATTGCATGGCATAAAAGACAACATTCACCCACTTTAAAATACATGTCAATTTTCCAGCTATTTTGCAAATTTCTCTACAGCGAGCATACAGATCTTGACTAGAAATAGGAGATCAAGTAATTTTTTTTTTTAGTAATAGTGAGAAAGAACTGGACATAGATAAATAAATTTTAACTGGGTGCGTTTTCAGGACCAAATCTTGACCTTAAGTGGACAGGGACATTCAATTCTGTAATCCAGAGACCTCAAAGCACACAGAAACAAGCCTGAATCTCTCCATATTAAACTGCACAATCATCAACTTTTTTGAGGATATTTATCAAATGATGGGTTGCCCATCACTTAAACACCAGTCAATCCCTCAGCCTTAAGTTCTCTCTCTTTTAACAGGCTGATTTACAAAAACCACGTCTGTGTTTTCATTTTCTTATGTTGCAGCACGTTATGGAAAGCATCAACTCTTCTCTTCCAAAAATATTATCAGCTGAGAAAATGACAATAATTGAAAAGGTGACAAAGGCCGGCAGCTCGAGGCTGATTATTCTGCCATCACTCACTGTGATTAAAAGGACAGGGCACTGCCTGACACTGGGGCAGAAATCAGAAATTGATTTTTGGTGCCTCAAGACTAAATTCACCTTCAGGGCTCGTTCCTGGGCCAGAACCTCGGCAGCCACGTGGCCACAAAGCTCGAATCACAAAGGGAGAATAATTCCAGCTGAAGGTCCAGGCCATAACTCTCATCCTCTCCTTGGCAAATTTCTCTTTTACCTCTCTATTCCCATCAATCAAATGGTTCCACACCCCTCAATTTTCACTGAAGCAGACCCTAAGCATTCTTATTTCCATAAGGTGACAGAAAACCATCCATATTCATGGAATGGGGGTTGTTTCTCTTTTTTTCCTCCTGTACTTCAAGTTAAATCAGCTCTGTCTTTGCACTGCTAAAATACAGCACACCCCTTAAAAAAAAAATCCAGTGAAACTGTGCTCTTAAAAAATCCTGGACCTTGGTGTAATTATATAAGGAACACACGGGCACAGAAAAAAAATTTTTAATCTTTCATCACAGACAAGTCCCCTACAAAAACTGGTTGGGAAACCACAACAACTCTTTGGTGCCATGCTCCCAAATACTCCATTCATGAAAAAAAAAGCCACATATTTAACCACGATGCGATTAACAGTTTAGAACAGGAGAATGTTAAGCATTGAGGAAGAGACAACAGAAAAATTAACCCAAGGACTCATTTTGCATTTCCCCACATGGACACACGGTGAGAACTCATCTGTATTTATGTTACCACCGTGGATAATGAATAATGAGGATTTGCTTCCTCTGTTTTACATAAAGGTAATTTAGACTGGGTGGGTGCAGAGCACTCTGAAATAGAACAAATCTGCATTGATTTCCTGATGCAGATTATTTTAAAAAAGCACTTGACAGCAATTTTGCTCAGAAATGCCTGTATTCACGAGGAAAACACTCATTCACCACTAAACACAAGCACATGAAACATGACATCACCTCCCAAAAAGACTTCCCCTTTTTTGGGCAGCACTCCTCTCTTACTTCAGGGATTTTTTTCTATTTACAAACCCATTCTTTACTTGTTACAAAGCCGAGGGTCGCCAGCTCCCAAGGTGCCACATGGCAGACCAAAACTCTCGAGTATGTGGAAGAACTCCAAGAATTATCTCTGGCCCCTTCTCTAGTCTTTATATAGTCTGAAGAATTTTTCCATTCCTGTTTGGGAACTTGGGGGCAGGGGGAGGAGGGTAATGGATTGTTTTGTTTTAAGTTCTTTTTTATTAACTGCCTCCTATCTGCTGACTGCCTAGGAAATTTATTGCAAACACTGGCCTCCATCTGGCCTGACAATAAAAAATTTGAAAAAGAGCTTCACAAGAATGAATGCTAAGGAGGAAAAAAAAATTTAACAGATGACATGGCTCCTACAAATGCACCAAATTACAGTTGCTGGCTGCATCTCCCACTGGAGCTCAAAAGCTTGCAGATGTTCAGAGAGTCTGAATGTTCTCATGACAACTCTAAAACAGGGTCTCAGATTACAAAAATCATTCAAGAAGAGGAAGGCTTGAGTGGAAACCATTTTCTCTTTCAGCATTTTTTTTTTTTTACCATCTTGGCGTTTCTTTACCCACCATGAATTTTTAGGTGCTTTACAGCTCTAAAGAAATACTAAGCTCTTCCTAAATAATTAATTTATTCAGTGAAAAAAAAATATTTTAAAAGGTCACTTTTTTTCTGTCTTATTTTCAATTCAATTTCTAACTGCAGGCAGAAAGAGAACATAACCAGCACAGAACAGCCATGTTCATGTGTTTCAAGCAAGCAGAACAACCTCCATTTCTCTCCCTTCTCACTGCAGAATTCCTCATTTCACTAGCACATTGTCCAAAAAGTGAAAATGCTTTTGTTCCCTTCTTGTACTTAACATAAAAAGCTGTTTGGTTTTGGTGTTTGTTTGTTTTTTAATTGAAAATCTACAGCAAACACAGACCCAGGTAGCTTGGCCAAGTGTTTGTCTGCGATTCACGTGCATGGTCTCTATTCCCTGATTATCTGGATTCCCACTGCTGAATACTTCCATGTATTGTGCTGGAACTATTGAAAGCATCAAGCACTTCAGTTCCTGGGTTGTCCTTTGTGGTACCATAAAATGATGGAATAATTTGGGTTGGAAAAGCTCTCTAAGACCATCGAGCCCGACTGTGACCCCAGCACTGCCAAGGCCACCATTAAACCCAGTCCTTCAGAACCACAAAAATGTTTTTTAATTGCCTTTTAAATACCTGGAGACTCCACCACAGCCCTGGGCACCCTGTTCCATTGCTGGACAATCCCTCCAGCAGAAAAATGCTTGCTAATATCCAACCTAAACCTCTCCTGGCACAACTTTGAGGCTGTTTCCTCTATCCAAACCCTTCAGATAATGGACTGCAGCCTCATACACATGGGTGCACCTTAAATCTCCAAAAGGAAACAGAGCTCTGGCAACCTAAGGATACCTGAGCTGACACCTGAGCTGCCACAGAGCCAATGCCACCATCTCACATGTCCCCACGCCCCCCAGCTCCTGTCAAGCCCTACCCAACATATTTCCAGAGTTTAGGACATTTTATTACCTTCGTATGCACGAGCCCTCCCAGCAGGTACCCACACAAATACAGCATTTTCTTTCCATAATCCCTCAGCCCCTCCCAAACCTCAGCTATCCCTATTTTAATTGACTTTTCCTGCCTTTCACAAGCCTTTTTTTTTTTTTTCCTTATTACCAAGATACCCCCTCCTAAATCAGTCCCAGGTTTATCCCCTATAGAAACAAACCCAAACCCACTCTGTGCACACCAAGCCCCCCTTGATGTCCTGCTGCTCCTCATCCACCGCAGCCTCCCACACACCCTCCCTCAACAGGATTCCGCCTTGGACAATCCCTCCATCCACAAGGTCACATCAGGCCCCTGTCTGCCCTCCTGTCAGGGCCACCGACACCTCCCTCCCGGTAGCCACCTGCCAAATCTACCTGTCCCCATTACGGCCGATCCTTTCCCTCCCGTTCCCAGCCCTCCAAAACCCCCTTTAATGACCCCAAATCGCAGCGCAACCTGTCATTAATGCTCCATCACTTCTGTCCCACCCCAAAGCCACGCACCCTCATCCTTCCCACCCCAACCGCCTTCAATCAGGTGTTGAACCTTATTTTATCCCCAATCAGCACCGTCAGCTCTGTGAACACCCCAAATCAAACCCTTTAACATCCCATCCTACCGCTTAAAACCTCTCCCCAACCCCTCTATTCCAGCGCACTTCAGCACCTCCAAAGCTCTGCGCCCCTCATCCCTCCCACCCCAACGCCCACAAACAGGCGTTTAACGCTTTTTCCTCCACACCTGTGAAAACCTCAGCTTCTCGCACACCAAACTCCTTCTTATTTCATCAAAACCCTCCATATCCCCCCCTTCAGCCCCCCTCCAACGGACCCCCACACCCCGCATCCCCACCCCACGGCCCCTTCAACGCAGCCTTTCCGCTCGCTGTCACCCCCCTCCTCGCCTTCCCCGCTGCTCCCTCCGGTACCTGACGAAAGGCCCCGGGGCTCGGGGCCGGGGCCGGTGCCTCGGGGGCGGCGGGAGGAGCGCGGAGCGGCCGCACAGCGCCATGGCGACCGCGATGCGCCGGAGGGACGGGGCGGCTCCGCCACTGCGGCCCGGAGCCCCGCCCCTCGCCGCGCGTACCACTCGGCTCAGGGGGGGACAAGGATATGGCACACCCGCACCGCTCCCTCCGCTCCCAGCCTTTCTGTCCGCGCAGGATTTATCCTGAGTTTGTTTTATCGTCTCGAAGGAAGTGCGGTCGGGAATTCTTGGATAGCAGCCCTGGTTGGGAGTAAACATAGAGAGGATGTGGATGGACACCCCCTCCGATAGGAATGGGCTCGTCCATGTCCAGCCCCCTGCTCACACACCCCTCACGCCCCCCCCTCCGCTCGCTCATGGGCGCGTCCAGCCCCCACCGCTGCTGATGTCCCCCCCCACGACGGGGCGTGGGCTCGTCCGAAGGCAGGGAGTCCCTGGGGAGGGGGACAAGGGACCCGAGGAGGGGGGACAAGGGACCCCCGGGAGCCCCCTGGAACCCCCGGGCAGGCGTGACACGGAGTCCTCTGCAACCCCCTGAAACCCTAGGAAGGGGTGACACAAAACCCTCCGGGGAGAGGTGACACGGAGCCCCGAGGAGCAGGGGGACACGGAGACCCGCGACATCCCATGCAGAAACCCGAGGGACGATGTGTCCTGGAGCTCCACGGAGTGATATACCCCGGTCTCCCCAAAATATTGCCTCCTCAATTACCCTACAGCACACAGACATGCCCTGGCTCCCCGTGTCCCCCCAGCACTGCAGTCCCCATGGGACCCCTCCCCAGCTGTCATCCCCTATCCCGCTTCCCCCAAAACCACCACAGCCCCATCTGGGCACCCCTCTGGGTGTCACCAGCACCCCACATGGTCCTTTTCTTGTTATCCCCAAAAAATAACCCTCCCCTTTCCAACCAGCATCCCTCTGTGCTGGCTGTGCCTCTGACGACCTTTCCCCATTCTTTTCCCATTTTACTGATGTGTCACCATTTCCAAAACTCTAAGCCAGCACCCTCAGTTTCCAGGGAGCAGGAGCAAGGATTTTAGGTCCTGCACAGAAAACCTCCAAGGATCTATAAAGGACTGAGGTCATCCCAAAGCAGGGAAGGATCTGGAGCCAGGCTTTAATGAAGCGTGAGGGGCACATGGCTGGAAACGCATTAATCACACATCCCTCAGCTCCTCCTGCATCCTCCTGCCTCACCATCCAACCCCGGGGGAAGGAAGAGCTGCCCCATGGCATGACAAGAGGTTGAGTAAGCATTAAGGAAAACTGAATTTGCTGTGGAGGCTCTCATTCCCCCCTGGAACATTAATCCCCATCCCCCAGTGCTAATCTGTGACGAGCTTCCTGCATCTTGTCCATCCCTGTTAATCACCCCAGCTCATCATCCCTGGTGGAGAGTGGGATAAGACCCCTTGTCTACATCTTATTTTAATTACATCAGTGTTTGCTAAGAACAGCATAAAGCCCAAAACCTGCAGCTTTTGGGTGTGATGGAGACATGGGGCTTCTCAGAACAAACTCCTTTTCCCTTCCCAAAGGACCCCAATCCAATGGGGAGCACTCAGGGGCTCTCACTCCCACCTTGCTTTTAACCTGGTGCAGGTGAGAACATGTTCCAAAGCGTTCTTTCCTTTTTTTTTCCCAAAAATCAAATTGGACTTTGCTCGCTGCCACAGAGCAAAGACAAGATAAATAAATATGCTGGGCCATGGCCCAGCTGCCCTGCAGGCACTGGGAAGCATTTTAGCTGGCCCTGATAAAGTTCTGATGGTTCCATGTACAGACACATCCCCGTGGCATGGGTTGTGCTGACAAGGAATTGGCCCCTTCTCAATCCCAAATCTTCCCTGTTTTTTGAGCCCCTGGACACACTTTGAGCTTGCTAAGGCAGCATCAGCAACAAGAGATGAAGGCCTGGAAGGAAAAGTGGATATCACTGCTAAAAACCTTTGACTTCCCTGTAGAAGGCTCCTAAAATGCATCCCTCCTGCTTCTCTTGTGATTTTCTGAGTGGAAAAGTCTCCTGCAGAGCTCCTGCTGGTTGTCCCATCCCGGTCCATGAACCACCAGCTTCCAAAAGGCTTTCCCAAGCCCCCTCTGCATCCAACACTCACACAAGGAAGGAGACATGCCCTGACAGCACATCCTTTCCCTGCAAAACACACAATCCTTAACATCTGCGTGCTGTGTTGGCTCCTTCCATCTCCTCCTCATCTCCATGAGCCTGCCCAGGGACTCCAAAGCCCCAGGAACACAGCAAGGCTATGGTGGCAGAGGAGAGGGAAAAGGGATCTTCCCAGGGTGGGATTTAGGGACATTTTGCCCCCAGGACTCTTTCAGCTAACATTTCACACCACTGGTGCATTGCACCAAGCTGTGACCTGCAGCCTGTATTTCCCTCGGGATGAAAACTCAGGTCAACAACCTGGAAAAAACCCAACAGAGAGGTCAGGCTTCCTGGAGAAGGAGTGATGTGGAAGGGGAAAGAAGGTGACATCAGCTATTGTTCCTGCTCTCCAGCTTCCTGAGCTTTACTATCCCACTATTGTTGCACGTTTTGAGGGCTGCAAAAGCTGAATGAAATCCACAACAACTCCCAAAGAGAGGAAGAGGGTAGCAGAGTGGTTTGGGAAGAGGGGGAAAAGCTGCTGCTGATGGTCCTTGGTGGATCCTCCTGACCTAGATCTTGTCCAAAAGCAAACAGCAGGTCTGGGTTGAGTCTGCTCCTGTGACCTGCTAGGGCTGTTCCTCGCTGTGTTTTCAGCTTGGGAACCTCAGCTTTGGCATCTGCCCATGGAAACAGCTGCTTTCACACCCTTTTCCCTGGATACCTGTTTATTTTTAGCAAATCCCTGCTGGAGAAAACAATGTTGTCCACACAGAGAGGCCAAAATTAACTGTTCACCCTGAAATGTGCACCTGGAGAGGTCCTGTATTCCCCCATCCGTGAGGAACACCTGAACTTCCCACCCTGGGCTGGTGGTTGCTCACTGAGGCTGGAGGCTGAATTTTATTTAAAAATTGATGGATACATCCCATGCTGCACCCCTGCACAGCCCTTCCCCATGGAAAAGATTGGCTGCTGGGAATGTGGGATGGCTTTGACATCCTGGTGCACACCAAGGAACCATCCATGAGCCATCCTGCAGGATTTCCCAGGGTGGTGGAACCCCAGGATGACCTTGTCTCCATCTCTGATGTTCAACTGGGTAAAAGCAACCCCAGAAATAAACCCAGAGTCAGCAGCTCCAAATAAAACCAAACAGAAAAGGTTTATGACTCACAAATTCCACTTTCAGCATCCTAAGAGCCGAGGATCTGTCCTTTAGGGATTTCAATTTGCTTTTTCCTTATCCTCTGTAACATCAAGGCGATATTTTCCTACTGTAACAGCACTTTTAAGGAAATAATTCTGATTTCTTGGAGAGAAAACATGAACTGTGCTGTGCTTGCATGGTAAACAAACAAGGTAGTCCCTTGCTGTGCTTTGTAAGAATTGTTTTTCTTCCTTTTTGCTCAGATTTATGGGATCCCATAAATTGTTGTATTTTTGGGATCCCATGAATATTTCAGAGGAGTCCACCCTCCAGACAACAGATGTTCATTCAGGGAATGAACTTGCTGCCTACAGAGCTCTTACTGAAAAATTCATGAATAGCCTGAGAAATGGATAAAATGAGACTGTTTGAAAAGTTTCCCATTTTTACCTGGGGAGGGAAAATTAAGTAATAAATGATGATGGTTATAAAAAGCCTCCTACTCCATCTGTCCAAGTTTTTCAGGCTGGAAGATCTTCATTCTTCTTTAGTGCTATTTTGGGAAGAGAGATATTAAAATTTCCTCTGCCCTGAAATTATTGTTTTATTCCTACCGCAAAAAAAGCAGCCCCCAGGTCAAAGAAAATAAAAAAGGGTGAATTACTTCAACAAGCTGAGATCTGCTTGTTTATACCACCCTGAATCTGGCACCACACACCCATCAAACACAGGGTGGAGATGCAGGAGGTGATGGAGACACAACACACCAAGATCCTGCAAGCACAGGAAACGTGTCAAAAAATAATAATGCTGACCCCGAGTTACCCAGACTTGTTTTGTTATAGCCACTGCTGTTTGTAAATGAAGAATTTGGCTGAGAGATAGAGGGGGCTGAGGGTGACCAGGAAATGAAAAGGATTTTTTAGATGTTCTGTTTGCAAACTGGTTCCATGCAAGGAGGAGATTTGGTGCTGGTGGTGGTCGCTGCTGAATTTCCTTTTGGCTTTTCCAACACTGGATGGAACAGAGAGATGTTTGCTGCTGCCACTGTCCCTGAGAATGATTTAATGTCATGCCTTCTTCATTTCAACATGTTTTGGGACATCCCCAGGTGCTATAGGATTGTGGAATAACTTGGGTTATTAATAACTTGGGAAGGGACTTGAAGATTGTCTTGTTTGGCCATATCAGATTTACCAGAATGGGATTTGGTCTGCTAAAAAAATCAGGAAATTGCTGTCTGGAATGGTGGGCTGGTTTCTCTTCCCTGACACCCTGGATGCTCTGGAAAGGTTCTTCAAAAGAAAGAACAGTCTGGATATGGCTTAGGATGAGGGGAAATTCAGCTGGAAGGGACCTTGGGATGTCTCTACTCCAACCTCCTGCTCCAAGCAGGGTCACCCATGAGGTCAGAGCAGGTTGCTCTGGAGTTTGCTCCTGAAAACATCCAAGGATGGAGATAGTGAAACCTCCCTGGTACCCCAAACCCCAAAGATACCCCTGGGCTCTGCTCCTCTGCCACTGCTTGCCCACAACCCAGCATTCCAGGTGTGTGGCCACCACCTCCTGGAGCCAACCAGCCCTACACTCATCTTTTTTTTCCCCCTGTTTTTGAGCCTCAGATGAACAGAGGAAGCCCCACAGCCTCTCCTGTATCTCCTTATCTCCGGGAACAACTTCCCACCTCTCCCATCCCGCTTCCTGCTGAGCTCAAATCCCTCCCTTCATTGTGCTTCTCCCTTCCAGGAGCCTCCTCTCAACAC